GATGAGAGCTTTACTGAAGGGTTCCGGGGCTCCAGCGAGAGCATGGCCTATGGCGGTGGCACATGCATCTTCTACGTTGTGGTCGAGAGCTTTCCCAGACAGCCCATGGTTTCATCCACCATCAACTACGTTTGGAAATGAGGTATGGTTTCGAGCAAAGAACTACAAAGGCGCGAAGGAGAAGAAGCATGAGGCTGCGGGAACAAGATGGAAGAAGGGCTGGTACCGAGGTCCAGCAATGGATGTGAACCGAGGACACCTAATCGCACGAGAAGACGGAGGTTTGACTGTGGCGAAGGGGGTGAAGTTCAATGTGGTTGATGTTCTCCATGATCCGGAACTGCGTGATTTACTACCACCTGGAGTTGCCGGTGAAGTTCTTGGTGATGGGGGAGATGTGACGCCTTCTACGAGGACCCAGCTTCAGGAGGAGGTTGAGTTTCAGTCCCGAGTGGCCTTGGAAAGGGGAACATTTACCATTGATGAAGTCCTGGACTTGTACAACAAGCTGGAAAAGCTCGGGGACACGGACCGGAGGCTCAAAGGAAAGTCCGAACTGAATTCTTGGTTCACAGGTGCTTTCGTGTATGGCGGCAAGGCTGGTTGTCGGAACAATGTGGACAAGTACCCCTACACAAGCAAGTTCCTCGTCGCCTTTGCGAAGAAGCATGCCAATGGACAGAGTTTTTCGACCCTGGGGATTACCAGAAATGCCCAGTTGGGAATGCATCGGGATGTGCACAACTACAGAAACTCTCTCAACCATGTGGTTCCGCTCACGAACTTTGAGAATGGCCACATTTGGGTCCAGGACAATGAGGTGAGTGACGAACAATGTGTGACCAAAAGGCTACCCAATGGGAAGCAAGTGAAGGGCCGAATCATGGAACTCAAAAGGGGACATCCTACTTCTTTTTCGCCACGGATATGGCATGAAGTTCAACCATGGGAAGGAGACAGAGTTATGCTGCTGATGTTTACTCCCCGAGCGACAAAGTTGACTGAGGAGAACGCACAGAAACTACGCAGTGTTGGTTTTGAGGTGGACCCAAGTTCGATGATCTACCACGAGGATGATGAGTCTTCGGAAGATGAAGATTCTTCGAGTGTCCCAAGGTTGCGAACGGCAAGGACAGCGTCTTCAGGGTCAACGGCTATGATTTAGTGCCGGCGTCGGCCTCTTTATTTAGGGGCTGTCGTTCAAGCCTCCGAACTATATATACCCCGGGTCTATGGGGATCCGAACTATATATAAATTGGGCTTCGGGGGTTTCCGAACTATTTATAACGATTGCTGCTTGCTTGCTTGCTGCTATCAGTTGGTTGCGCGCTTGAATCTAGTCTGATCAATCACTGCAGGCGCATAGATTGATGCAATAGAAATCCCGCAAGCAGGGCACAAATCAGTGGAAGAGCTAGCTTTTTTCAGGGCTTTATGGCTCTGTTTGCCATGGGCCAATGAAGATGAAAAGAGTGAGAAGGAAAGTCAAGCGACGGGTGAAGGTGAAGAGATCGAGGCGACTGGAGTCAGCCACTACAGCATCTTCTCGAGATTCGCAGCACAATGCTACTCCCGATCCTTCTCATGATGAATCTGGGGCGGCAGCTGCAGCAGTTGTGCTGCCGGCCCCTCCTCCGCCACGTGATCCTCCACGTCTCATTGTCAAGGCTTGGACAGAAGTCTCTGAGGCCCACAAAGAGATGTTGAAACAGTGCGGGATGCCAGTGCCACCGCCCGTGCCAGCGTGGCATCTGTTGCAAGGCTGCAGCCACAGAGTTTCAAGCGAAAGTTCTATCCGATGTCCCTGGCAATGTCCTGCTCCACCTAGAACCTGCCATCAGAAATGATCGCTCGTGTGGATCATCGGACCCTGGAAGCTGTGAGTATGTCAAAAAGTCTAAGTCGAGTGAATTGTATGTATGTTCGATTGGTATTTCAGCATTCCCGGAAACGACATGACATGAGATATGTCATGTCAGTGATGCAGATGCAGTGATGCTTGTTCTGAGCGGTCTGACAGTTGAACCACATGGCTCGACATTGCGTGTGCATTGATTTGGCATTCGACATTGACAATTGAAAGTCCTTGTCCTGGCGAGTCAGGGTTGGATCAAGGTTTGTGTGATCCTGTGTTGCCGCCCCTGCCTCCAAGAGATGGCAGACGAGAGCGGTTCTCCTGGTTGCCCGCGCCTTGCTTTCATTGTATTTCGAGAGTTGAAGGCTCTCCTTGAGTTTTTATAAGATCATTACAGTATAGTCTTGGTGTAGATCAGATCAAATCAGATCTTTTTGACTTATTGATAGAGTCAAGTCTGTGATTTGAGGCTCCACTGACCCACCGGGGTCTAAAACCTCACCTCAACCAATAAATAAGCCGGAACCCGAAACATACATAATTGGGGTTTAGGGATTCGGGTTAGGGTTTAATTTAACTTAATTCCTTAAGGTGAGACAACCCTTAGACTTAGACTTAGATTACCTGCCACCAACAAACAACCACGCCTTACCTTGGCACTCTTTCTCTTTCTAGAGAACCTCACTCCACCAATTTGAGCCAAGCTGAAAATCCAGCAGGTTTCCGGGGTCTGGTGTATGTGACAGTATGTGCAGAAACTACCAACCTGCGGTAATTTGCGTGATACTGATACTATCTATCACAGATCATTGGACAAACAATTGTCACTATTTCGAGCGTGCTTGTCACTAGCCACCACTACAAAAGTCCCAATTACAACCCCGGACCCCGGCTATCTACGATCCCCCAAAGCCTGAAACCTGCAAGCCACAACACACCTACCTACTGCCCAGGTCAGTGTGCGAGAACATACAGCAGGAACTCAAGTTCCTGCAGTGGGCGCGGGAGTATGGGAATGCCTTGGGCGTGCCCAATGTGATCGGGGCTTTGAACAACAAGCAGAAGCTTCCTAGCTTGATATGCACCTACCACCACCCATTGGCAGTCTGTTACAATCTGTAATCTGTTAGTTTCTCAGTTCTTGCTTTTGGTGTGGCTGCCGATTATCTCGCAGTGTTCGTTAGTGTTCCTACGAAGGTTGTCCATCGTGGAAGGCTGTGCCGGGGCCGCGACAGGGACATATTGCATGCACCCTAGCTGCATCATTCATTGGCGCAGCTCCATAACCCCGAGGGCTGGGCCCAAATAACGTATGCTGCTTTCATAATTCATAATGATTCATAATTATTTAATTTATACAGTCATCGTCATCGAGTCATCAGTATCAGAGTCGTCACAATTGCCACAAAGCAAACTGCAGAAGCTCACTTGGGTTGGTGATGTGTCTGGAGGCGGCAGATCGGACACGAGTTCGGCATTCCCTGGACTACCTTGGCCTGCCTGGAGAAAGATGCTATGAAAAGGAATTTCATTATGCGTAACTTCAGCGGGCACGGATACTTGATTGGGAATTGACAGTTGCCAGTGTGCAGTGTATGTGTGCACAGATTGTGTCTTAACACAGTATCGAAACGCTGTTGGAGCTAAGTCTGCCACCTCTACAACGACATGGGTGATCTTGTCCGTGGCGGAGAATGCTTGATTCATGGCACTGCCCAGTGCGTGCAGGATCTTGCAGGGCTAAGGTAGATGTTGGAGTGAGTGGAGCATAGCCATATTATGCTTTGAGTGAAGTGTTTCCTGTGACATGTCGTTTCTGAGTCGAGTCACATCTGTGCGAGAAGCAATATTGTGCGACGTGCAGGAGATGGACGACTCGGAGGACATATTCTGTTTCGGTCCGCCCTGCCGGCCCTACAGCCAGCTGAGTCAGAAGAGGAAATGGGGCGACAACCCTTTCTTGTCAGACGATGGCAAGGCATTCATTCTGGGTGCGAGGCACATCCGCGACTCACCCGCATGATTTCCTGTTTCACGGGTGAACGACAGCATTGCAGGCAGTTCATTTCAGCATTTCAGCATTTCTGTAATTTCAAATTTCTGTATCACACGTATCACTTGATATCGCTTGATATCACTGATCATATCACAGCATGTCGCAGTATCGGCAACACCAGTAACATGAGAACCATCACGCCAATGCTCGCTCGGGTTCATAAGTCGAGTGATGTCATGTGGTCGAGGTGAGCGACGACCTGCTGTGGTGATCATGGAAGAGGCCATCAGTTCAGTGGTTCGAGATGTTTTGGACCTTTCGGCTATAGTCCGAAGTTTTTGCCGGATTGGAATCACGAGTTAGTTTGAGTCATTGTAGCCTGTAGCCGTTTGCAGCCCATGGCCGCCATTGCCCCATAGGCATAGGCCATAGCCAAAGCCCGTTATATAACTCGCAAGAATCGCCCCCGCTGCATAACGGATTCAGAGGACCCCGAACCCCGTAATTTATCCAAAGGTTTTCGGTTTTCGTGTTGACCGGCGTCCTTCTAGCCTAGCTGTTTGTAGAAGTAAAGCAAGTGAGTAAGGCTGCCTTAGGCATGCTTTCAATTCTGTATTCGTTGAACATTGTGTCACTGTGTCACGTGTCGTGATAGCGAGGGGACTAGGGCCTATAGGGACGCAAAAATCCTAGGCTTTGCAAGGCTTCGAGGTTTAGGTTCTGCTCCAAGTCTAAGCATGCCATAGGTGCCGACGATCCTGCAGCCGTTCCCGCAGACCTGCCGCGGTCCGTTCTTCCAGAAGTACAAGGCTTGGATTTGGGTCCTGGTGGTCCTGGGGCTCTCGGTGCTGCGTAGGGTTGCACATGCAAGTCGAGTCGTTGCGATTGTCAGCTTTGCTTTGCTGATCAAGACCGATGGTTCGTTCATTCAACAAGAAACTCCCTGTGCTTTTGAGTCCTGAAAGCCGGAAAGTCATGAGGAGTGGTTTGTTATGATTCTCATATGATGATATGAACCTGTGACTCATGACTGACTCCAGAATCCTATCGCCTCGTAGTAGTGACCCGGTCAAGCGTAGATCCCAATGTGTGTTATGCTCCTTTTGCTGCGTCGTCGGCATCGTGATCCGTGGTGATTCGCAAATGCGATGCACCTGTTGAGAGCTCTGGGCCATGACCCGGGACAGCCTCCGCAGCCTGACCCGCGTGAAGCTGATGAAACGAAGCAGCTCAAGCGTAAGCTCCAGACACGTCGTGCAACAACAGCCCTCGCTGTGAAGCGAGAGCAAGTGAAGCAGGAAGAGTCGCCTGCGCTGGCTGTTCCTCCCGAGATGCGGGAGACTTTTCCTGAAAGGTTGCAGAGAGAGCAGCTGACTGGTGCAAGCCAGCACTTTCGCCACAGAACAACTGAGTTGAGCCAGGATCAGTCCCATTCGATGAGTAGGGAGCGTTCCAGATGTGTGAAAAGTTTGTTGGTGTCGTTGGCGGCACGAGTCAAGGAGCTTGTGAGTGGCAGGGCCAGAGCTGGAAGCGATCCAGCTGAAGTGTGCCATGTTATGAACACTGTCGTGTCAGATGATACGACAACAAAGCTGAAAACTGAAGGCCAAAGCTTTGAGCAGCAAGGTGTGGTGCATACGATAATGAACACATGCCAGGCTTTGCTTCTGCGTTACAGCGATGGTGGGACAGAGTGCCTCAGTTTGCCCACACCTCTCCAGGTTCTTCCTGCCGGAAGAGCAGATTACATCCATGCAGGCTTTCGCTCGTGGTTGATAGTCACAGCGTGCGGCGTCGGCCAGAAGTTCCTGGCATTAGGCTGCCCGACAGACTTGACTGTCGAAGCAAAGTGGAGGAGCTTGATATTGGTTGGCGATGCACTCCGGGCGAATGACACAGCCTGGAGACTTGAGCGTCAGATCATGTTGGATCAGAGAGATCGCACAAGGGATATGGCCGCAGCGCCGCATCGGACGCTGGGCATGCGGCTTCGATGCACAAATCACCAGCTGTGCCTAGTTCGTAGGCCACTGGTACTCTCCTGCAAGGGGTACTGGACGACGCTGGTACGTCTAGGGCATCTATATGAGGTCAACTCTTTCCGGCGATCCTTCGCCGCTGCACTGATCAGTTTGATCAAGAAAGACGGCAACTTTATTCGTTTCTTCGCGAAGCATTAGTAGAAGCGAACAATCGTAACTTATCATAATTTGACTAATTTGATCTAAGATCTAATCTAATCATAGAGTCGTAGAGACATAGATAATCAAAGAATCATAATTGGAGCTGGTTGCGTGCATTGAGATTCCGGAATAACTTCTAGGATAATGGGATGGGATGGATTTAAGGCATCCCCGTCTATGAGTACCCGCCGGAGAAGTCTACATGGGAGCAGAGGGCAACCTGGCTCCAGCGTGATTTTCAATCCACAAAAGGTGCCACGAAGGCATTGCAGGCGCTCTTCGAATTTGCAAATGGCGATACTTCCGGAGAGGTTGTAACACACTTTTGCAAGATGCAGCAGGGAGACTGCTCAGCGTGTTGTTCTTCTGATGAAGAGGCGCTGAGCAAATTTTTATCCCTTGCAGTCCCGCTGTTCAGCAAGGGCTTCCCGACACCGCTTTTGTATCGCATGAAACACTATGGGCCGGCATCTTCATTCATGAAGGTGGGGTGTTCGTTCTGCAAGTTAGTGCCTCAAGTGCTACAGGAAATGGAGCATTTGTCAGCTGAGAAAGCAGATGGTGAGCTGGCAAGCCTTGTGGACGCTTTCCTTCATGAATCAGGTCACGTCGCAGACGGGAGGGCCCGAAGTGAACAGGAACTACAGGACATGTTGGCTGACGCGCTCGAATCCGATCAAAGTTTTGCTGCACAGAACGGACTTCGCAGGCGAAAGGTCATCGCCGAAATCACCCGGCCGGACTTCCATCAGTCCTCCATGCTGATCGACTGCCTCATTCAACCGTTGGAACACGGCATAAACTTTCTACTTGGACATACAAAGATTTTGGCGGACTTGCGGTACCTTGGTCGTGGCCACCCAGACTTCGACAGGCTTTGCCGCGAAAGCCGCTTGAAATTCATGCAGGTTGTAACCGGGCAGCTGGCCCAAAAGCTTTTGCGGGAGTATGTGGTGATCTTGCACCACGGATTGCAAGAACTCTTCGATATGGGGTTTGCTGCCACCCCGGACAGCTTGAATCAGATCTTTGAAGCAGTTGTTTTCCTCTGCTCCGATCTTTACAGAAGATTGCACCATGATTTCAAGAAAGCTCCATTCAAGTTCTTCCGTCTGAGTGATCTCAATGGCCAGGAGTTCAGCTCGAGCTGGACCGCTTTGGAGAAGGAAGCCGCTGCATGTTCGACTTGCATGGACGAGGAATTTTCGTATCCGCTGCTACGTCAATTTGAAGGCTTGTCTTCGAAATCTGTGCCTGAACAAGACAGTGCACGACGCGAGATTCAGATGCTGCTGCTCGATGTTGCAACATGGAGCCCAGTTACATCGGACTCTGTTGAGATAAAAAACGGACAGACCCAGTGGGCAGTGAGCAGGCGTGGTGGACAGAATGTCCGAAATACTCGGACATCTTTGGAACTGTCTCTGGTACAGGAGGCTGTCAACCAGAACCAGTGGGCTCAACGTGCAGTGTCCGAGGAAACCCTTCCCAACAAGGCCACCTCTGCTGGTGTTGTGAAGATGGCTGGTGTGAAGACCACGAAGACAGAGGACGCCTGAATTCCTAAAGTCGTTGCCAATACCCCTAGGCAGGCCCCTATAGCCTAAACCTGATCCTAAAGCTATGATTATAACTTACTATAACTATAACTATGACTCTGACTATGACTATAATTTATAACTATATAACTTTAACTATAAGGTTACGTTAAGTTGTTAGGTCAGTTTGGTCTTTGAGATTTGATTTTAGGATTTTTAGGGCTATGGATCCAAGCAGAAACCCTGACCCCAAACCCAGAACTCCGTTGGCTTCCAGCCGGTATGTGACGATCGTTGCATAACGTAGTGCCTTCGGCACATAGTCGAATCTGGCGTAGTGTAACAGTCCTTCTCCTTTCATCGTGGGCGGATAATTTTTGTGTTTCCGGGGCTTAGTTTTCTGAAGCTTGGTTCCTCACAGCCTTAGATTAGATTACAGTAGATTCCTAAAACGCAAACCACTTGCGGTATTTCGGAATTTCAACTATGTTTCGGAGGGCGACAAACGGGTCACAGAAATTCTGAGAACCTTTGAATCCGCGTGTGTGTATATGTACACAAGTGGGGTGGGTCGAAGTGGTACTGTTAGTGTTGGTGTGTTGCGGTCATTCAGTCATTCGGAACTCAGAATTCAGAATCATTCAACCGCTCGAATCATGCAGCATTCAGAGAGTTCAATTTCAAACAAAATCACCAGGAGGGCAAGAGCCGGACTATGACAAGGCGGGAAACGCCACAAGAGCGAGAAGCACGTCTCCGCAAGGCGAAAGATCGGTCAATTCGCAAGCTTTCCGCTTGGAACGTTTTTCAACGATCCAAGTTGAAAGGTCGCCACCTGCAAGGCGATGCCTACCAAGCTGAAATTAAAGAGATTAGCAGGCAATGGAGATCTCTCGGTCCTGAGGAGAAAGAACAGTACAAAGTTGAAGCAGAGCATCAGCAGGCGTTGCTCGATGCTTTGGAGACAACACCGTTGGCAGTCGAGGCTGCGGATGGCGCCGAACATGCGGACAGGACCGATGGAGTTTGGCGCAACGCCGCCAAGAAACGTTCTGTCCGACGGCTTGATCTCAACGAAGCTGCGTTTCGTGAGAATAGCTTGTGGAGCTTGCCCACGCAGCTGGGCGACGGTGCCATGGCCCATGGCTGTTCCGTTCCTGATAGTTCTGAAGTACCTGAAATAATTTGAAATAATCTTTAAGCCATCTCTACTTGAGGTATGGTCGGGGATGGTACACTATGGTCCTATGAGTATGAGTCCTATATTGGTCTAGTCGGTCTAATCCTGCTTGGTTAGTGACAAGAAGACCAGAACCCGTAGTGGACCTTGACCTCGAATCAGTTTCCAACACTGTCTTCCGTAGATGATAATGATAAGTTGAAACCCTAGGTCTCGGTGCACTGAAAGCATCCCTTATTGACGTGGCTTCGAGTGACACAGACATCGCGACCTTTCTGAACGGAACTCTTCATGAACCCCTTCTTCGATCCGATCTTGAGGATGACGTGCTTGAAGATCGATGCCCTGTGGGTTGCTGCTGCAGGTCGGATCACTTCAGTGATATTGAGATATGGCGGAAGCGTTTCAAGTCCCATCTTGAAGCCAACAGTGTGAAGCCTGGTTCCTTGCTGATGTTTGGCAGCGCATCCTTTCCTGATGCTTTCACCTTCATTCTTGGAGTGGTGCTCAAAAGACCGTCTGTGCATATGCTGATGAAAGTCAGTCTCTCGGAGAATGAGGCAAGGTTCGAGCTTGTTCATGGTGCACCAGTTGTGCTGTCTGAGCGAGAAGCTTTTCTACAACTGTTGCAGCTGACTCCTGGCCTTCCAGATGACTTGACTGTCGAGGTCTGGCACTGCCAAGCCTTCCTCCGAGAAGGCTCCCAGCTGTATGCTGTGCCGGATCAGAAGCTATGTGTGTTCAACTTGAACCAGACGTTGCAGCCAAAGCCGAAGCGTGCACCCGTGAAGCTTCCATTTGGACTGCAACCTGAAAAGAAGCAGCGGCAACGCAGGCCCAAATGCAAGCCATCTGCCAAAGCAGGAGTTCGGCAGAAAGGGAAGTTCGGCTCACTTCCTCCTAGCAAAAAGCGAGGCATGTCGGGCATGTCACTGGACTTGGCCCGTGAAAGCCCGAGCGACGAAGAGGTGCCAGGCAGCTCTGATTCAGATGAGGATGCAAACCTGGACCCCAACCAGGAGAGCGAGCGGGTCGTTGTTTCAGATACGGTTCGTGCTGAGGAAAGAAATATCCCGGAGCTTGCGAGGGAGATCGAAGAAGCAGATCAGTTGCGAGCGGAGACAGCAGCAGCAATTCGCTTGAACCAGCCTGCCCCTGGTGGACGGACAAGCAGCTTTTTCTCGAAAGAGGAAGGTTTGGCATTCGGTGCCATCGCTGTGTCGGGGCGGTCGGTATGTTTGTGCTGCAAACTGCCCATCGCGAAGGGTAGTGTGCGCTTTGCTTGGTACCATTCTGACCGCATGGTTGGATTCACTCGACATGTGCGTACGACTTTGTCAAAACCACCGGGTTGAAGGAAGTGGCTGTGAGACGTTTGCTGGAGATTGCACACAGTGGCTCTGGAAGCAGCAGCAGCCGCGCCCGTAGTAGCAATGAGCAGGCAGCAGTGCCTGCCGAAGTCGTCAATGTGGCAACCCAGCTTCTGGCAGTCCTGAACGCTTGAAGTCATGAAGACTAGACTAGACTAGGAAACTTTGAACTGTTGACTACGTTTATCGAGTACTCATGACATGCTATGATATGATATTAATCTATCAGTCTATCTACCATTGGACCATTGACCATTGAAACTAATATGATATTAGATATTCATATATTAATTTCAATGGTCAATGGTCCAATGGTAGATAGATTGATAGACTGATAGATGATAGACTTGTGAAAACCTAATCGACGTCGGAGTCTTATTGTCTAGTTTGTTCGGTTTGTTACAGTTTGTGTTTATAGGGGTCCACAGTCTTTGTCTGTAGTCCGTGACCTATGCTACTGTGCTATGAATCTATGGTTGGACTGCCGGTCAATCATAGCTTAGTCCATATCGACGTCACATCCATAATATCAATATCAATATCAATAGTCAATATCATCAGTCTATGCCTGCTGATGGCACAGCCAGGCTAGCCAGGCGTCAGTGATGTGCCGCAGAAGCAGAAGTGGTTGCAAAGCCCGTCTCTCGAAGATGCCAGGTGAAGAGAAAACAACAGCAATGCACATTTCGATTTCTGCACGACATAACAAGCGTTTCCTGTCTGCTGCGATGATTCGCTAGGCTGTCGTCGAGTAGTGAGCAGATTGCAGCGCTGAGTTGCGCTTTTTGATGCTGTGGTCGGTCATGCTGCCAGGACCTAGATCCTAGCCCTGATCCGTTGCATAGTCCCCGTAATCGCGGTATATTCGTAGCGGTCGCACAGAAGGGTTTTCCAAGCAATCATGTTATGTTATGTTTGCGGTCCTGCAGCAGGCCCCGGTGGATTTTATGCTTCGTGGAGAGCTTGATGGTGAAGATGTGGGACTGGAAACCGTGCCAGGTTACCATTTGGAAACTTTGGTTCTCGAGTGCCTTGGCTAATTCGTGAAGTAATAAAACATAAAGCACTGACTTGAAGGTAGTTATTGTGGCAGGTGGGAAGGTCGGGCAGTTTTTGTTCTTTTGACGTTGATCAAGTAACCCGATGACAACTATGGGCTGCGGGCTATGGGTCTTTGGGTGATTCATGACTCAGTGTTGATGCAAGACTGATTGATGAGTCAGAAGTCAGAGGCCAGAGCGAAGAAGGGTGTGACGACTCATACCGACTCATACATACCATAAGACCATAATCGATTCATATCATCTCTCATCCTCTTGCTCCCAAAACGACACGTCAAGTTGTGTATTGTCAGTGTCAGTATTGTTGTTTTGTTTTCAACAAACACTGAGAAGCTTGTTGCTGAGGGCCCGCCGCTTCGGGCTAGCCCAATCCCGCAAGCGGGTGTACATCCTGATGATCAAGGAGCACTTGGTGGATGTTGGTGACCTGAGGAATTTGGTCCATATCATTAGCCAGGTCTTGCCAAATCAGCTCCTGCCTCAAGCGACTATGCAAGCTGTGGTCGCCTACAATCAAGAGGTGCATGAGACTTTTGAGCAAGATGCACGCCGCCCTGGCATTGCGAAGGACTTGCGAAGTTTGATGAATCCTCATCCTACCACCCCGAAGAAATCCGACTCCGACCCCTTTTGCAAAACCAGATCGAAAGCCTTTGTAGCCTTGCTGTGGCCTTAGCCTGAGCCTTGGGGCCTTACAGTTAGCAGTTAGCAGATTATCAGATCGCTGCTATGCTATTATGAATTATGTGACCTATGACTAGGCTATGATTACCTGTGGTCTTCTGCTATGACTCTATGACTATGACTATTACTATTACTATTACTATATGACTATGACTCTAGTCATAGACTATGACTATTACCAATATTAATACACTAATACCATTAGCCATTAGCGACTATTAACAAAATTATTGCTATTACTACTGCTGGTTGATTAGGTCTGAGCAGAATTGGGACAGGATTTTGAGAGGGATTAGGGCAAAGGCGCGGTAATTTGCTAAAGGCGTGAACACCTCACCGGAGCATCGATCCACGGCCATCAGTTCATAAGTTAGCGAGAAAAACATCGTGCCAGATCCCGGAAACCAAATTGCGGCTGAGGTTTGACTTATATATAGTTCGGATAAGCCCGGCCGATTTTATAAATAGTTCAGAGCCCCTTCTTTTCAGTATATGGTCTCTCTAGCCTCTTTAATCAGAGCCCGGATGGCAGGATGGACGAACCAGCCTGGAGGGCAAGAAGAAGGTTGAGAGCCTCAAGCGCGAGCTCGGTGCCGGCGGGTTCGTTGAGACTCTTCCGGATGACGTGCAAGCCTTGTTTAATTCCAGGGAGAAGGACAGCCTCGAGATCCAGCACGCAGTTCTCCAGGCATTCTGACAGCATGCTTTGCCGTTCTTTGGAGGGTGTTTCCCAGGCACTTTTCGCCTTGTTCGAGCTGAGTTTTCAGTGATTTGCAGTGGTAGGGATCGGGATAGGGTGATAGGCTGTGTTTGGTACTGCTTAGAGTCTTTAGAGAATGCAGAATCAGAATGAAGAAACGAGCCCAGTGATCAAAATTATGTAGTTGGCTGTACTAATATGTTGTTGTTTTGTAATTAATATATAAATTATAACTTATATTAATTATAACTTTATAACTTATAACTTATATATAACTTAACATCATCGGTTAACAACCAGCTTGTTTATATACCGCTCGGAATCGCTCGGAGCCGTTCTGATCTATATATAAGGGATAGCTTAAATATAGTACGGAACCGCTCGGAACCGTTCTGAACTATATATAACCCAAAACCCAGAATAGTTCCAAATAGTCCGGAATAGTCCGGAATAGTCCGGGAGTCATATATAGCCCGGAACCGCTCGGAACCGTTCTGATCTATATATAGAATACACTTTAAAAACAGTCCGGAACCGCTCGGAACCGTTCTGAGCTATATATAGACTACACATTACTTATATATTATATAATAACCAATATATACATATACTACAACATATATAATACCATATAACTATATTTATACTTATATCAAAACAGTTTATGGCATATTACCATCACATTAGCAGATTTATTAGTTTATTGAAATACAACATATATTCATACTACCGAGGTATCCTGACTACATGGTCTCGGCCTATGATTCATGACTCCTGGTTTCCGTACGTCTGTACCACACAGCTTGTGGGAAATGCAGACTTGTATACTTTTTTGGGCAGTTATACAGCCCACCGGGGCCAAAACTTGTGGCAAACGGTTGGGATGCGACACTGATGATGAATGATGATGGCTATGGGCTATGGGGCTATGGGTTATAGGCGGCTTATAGGCTAGGCAGGCAGGGCAGCATAATATAGGAATAGGAATACATAGTATATAAATAGGCTTAGCTCGATAAAACCAAAGCAGTAGCGAGCGAGAACCACATTGCCACACTAAACCGTGGCATCAAGGCCCAATTGCGATTTCCCAATCAGTACTAGGACTCGGACCAAGACAAGTACTACTGAAAGCAGGGGGTTCAAATATGTTTGTGTTTGCAAGGCTTATACCAAGGTTAGCCAAGGTTTGAAGTTTCGATGGCAAGGTTCAGTGACTCCAGTGAGTCCAGTGCTGTGTAAAACCCGAACATTGCAAGGCACGGGGGGTTGATCCGTGTGGCCGCCGGTGCAATATGGACCTGGCAAGAAACTTGGCACTGTAATATGGTTTGATTCGTTTGGGTGTGCTGATTCAGATGATTGAGATGATTCTTTGGCGAGCTGTCGTGTTGCGGATGTTTTCACAGTTGGCAGGAGCCAGAATGGGCTGGGCATGCAGAAGCAATGGGTATAGGCAGTATAGGGCAAAGTGAGGGCAAGTATAGGCATAGGACAGTCATGCGAGTTCTCAGACAAGGATCTGCGGCGCGCCACCACATAGGCATTGATGGTCACATTTCGGCGGTGATTACGTACGTCAAAATCTTCGACTTTGACAGTTGCCGGTGCTTTTCAGCCCAGGACATACCAGGGTGATTCGGAATCGTGCAGCGTGCGAGTTGGAAAGAGTACAGTATAACAGTATAACGGTACGGTATGTCCCAAGAGCTTAGGGGGGTTTGGCTCAAATCTTCTTCGTGGCTTTGGTTGTGGCTGCAGGGTATGGGTGCAGGTCCAATATTTAGATTTAGACTGATAGACTGATAGACTACTAGGCTATATCAATATCAACATATAGGACCGGGTTATACGTTATATAAGACTAGATGATTATAATTAGATGACTATACTATATAGACTGTGACTATGAGACTATGCTATAGACTGTAGTCTATCGCATTCTAGACTATAGACGGCCAGACACTGAAACAGACGGTTGCTTTTGGATGTGGTGTAGACTGTCGACTAGACCCTAGCCTAGACAGCCTAGACCGGTAGACAGACGTGTGACGTGTGACATATGCAGCCATTGAGACTTTGGGAGTCGGGGGGGTCCAGCAGGAGGGCTTGATACTTCAACGGTATTCCTTGTCATTGCGAAGAGCAGTTTTGGAGCCCCCCTTCAATAAATAACAATTGTTTAGCCAATTGTTTGATCCAGGACCTTCTGGTGGCACAAGGCTTTGACACTGCCGTGCTGGACCTTGGTACACCATCTGATTTCACCTACAAAGACCTCAACAGCCTCGCAGGCCGCAGGAGTGAGAGAGAGAGAGAGAGAGAGAGAGAGAGAGAGAGAGAGAGAGAGAGAGAGAGGAGAGATGTTGAGGTACAAAGGGCGAAAGAAAGGGATGAAGGGAAGAAGCCCCGTGAGATTCTGTGATCATGAATCATGAACAGGCAATAACCGGAGACTTCCTCAGGTGATGCGTGGTCGGTTCCTGTTGCTGGCGCGGTCATATTTGGTGTTTTGGCATGCGTGTTTCCTACGGCAACAGGGAAGCCTGCAGTTAGTCTCAAGACGAAGCCACCCGTGCCAATCCTCTCACAGATCAAGCTGCTGAAAGTGTTTGGTGACCACGATGATGATGACCACCTGCGTGATGCAGACTCCATGGACGTTGCAAGTCCAAGTGCGTCTGAGGGTGAGGCTCAGGATGGCTGGGACGTGTTGAGCCCCCAGAGTGACACAGCAACAGAAGAAGATCGCGAGGCAGACCTCATGTTTGCCTCACCTTGCGAAGGGTTCTGCACTGCATGCGCCAGCTTGATTCAGAAGGGGGAGGTCGTGATATCATGGATGCAAGGCCAGCGCATGATCATGCTGCATGCCAGCTGCATGGTAGACTACGCCTCTAACTGCGACTTCGCCAAGAGCTTGTTCGTGGCCTTAGTGGCGTTCGAGCCCCGTGCACCTATATCCTTGCACTGTCCTTTGAAGGATGCGTTGGAGAAGCTCCAGGAGCTGATTCATGCGGACAGCGGATCTGAGAAGACAGTTTGCCGAAGCTGCTTTGAGCCGGAGGGTGATTGCGTGTGCGACCCAATCACGTACGATCTGGATGAGACCCAGGATGCACAGGTCCTGATCCCAGTTTTGAGCGCTGCAGACGGCTCATGATGAAATCATGGAGCCTGGAGGCCTGTTTCAAGTTTGGTTTAGCCTAGCCTAGACTGTAGGTTTGGGCTGGCTTGCTTGCCATTGGCATTGGGTAGTGGGCCCTGAATGGCAAAGGGTTGCTGGGGTGCGGCATGCAGCATCGCTGCATCACTTTTGACAGTCCGAAGAGCGGCTGACCAGCGGGTGATCTGACACGGTACTGGCATCAGTGCATCAGAATCCACGGGGCCTTGTCGGATACCAAGACAGGCCACGAGAAATTTGAAACCTCGGCCTAGGAGTGGTTTCTGCTGCAAAGGACGAGTGCTGTGCTGCAATGCACATGATTCGCATGATTGCTGATTGATAATATCATTGATTCAGATTCATGATTGATGGTTGACTTGAAATTGACACCTGATGTTTCCATGTTCAGCATGTGGCATTTGGCATGCGTGATTGGTGGCCCATGTGTTGCGGCATGACCAGGCTCAGTGTAGATCTGAGTCCGGGCCTGGTGTTCTTTGTCATTTCCAGTGACGTCTTGTTGGGCGACTTGGAGAGTCGACCTTCTTGATCATCATGCCGGCGGACAAGAAAAAAATCAAGGAGGGCGAAGAGGAGATGCCCTCTGAGAGGGGCCTGCAGAGTCTGGGTCTCGACACCAGCACGGTGGACTTGAGCGAGATCCCTTCGGATACTTGCGGCGCCTGTGAACAGGTGTTTGGCAATCAAGACCGGGACACTTGGCGGCGTGAGCCTGCCAAAGACCAGTCCAGTCCAAGGTTCCAGACTTTATTGATTGATTGTCTGTGATTCTTTCAGTTCTTGTAGCGTGTGAATGATCTTGGTCTGCTTGAGCTTTGAGTTCGTAAAAGATTATTCCGACTACTCCGATAGACTATTCAGACTATTCAGGCTTCTTTTCAAGTCACCGTCTCATGCGTACGTGTGTCCGTTTGTCCTGTGAGCTTGTGGTTTGATGAAGTCATGATTGAGGCCATATCAACACAACATCCAAATGCTGCCAAATGCCCATCCGAGGATGCCCCGGAAGGGCATGTGCTCACGGTGATCTCTGCGAAGGGCGATAACCGCCTCCTTTGCCTTCGCTGTTTCTACATCAAACGGGGCTCCTTCTCGAAATTGAAGATCACAGAGTTCTTGCAAGTGTTGCGACTCGTCCCAGCCATCAAGGACAAGTGTCGTGATTGCACACAGCTCTCGCTCTCGCTCTCCTCCTCCCTCCCTCCCTCCCTTGCTCCCTCTCTCTCTATCTCTCTCTCCCTTGCTCTCTCTCTCTCTCTCTCTCTCTCTCTCTCTCTCTCTCTCTCTCTCTCTCTCTCTCTCTCTCTCTCTCTCTCTCTCTCTCTCTCTCTCTCTCTCTCTCTCTCTCTCTCTCTCTCTCTCTCTCTCTCCCTCACTCTCTCTGCGTCGCGTTTTGTGCCAGGTTTTGCTCGCATGTCGCACACAGCCAAGGTTCGTGAATTTGCGAAGAAATCACGTACGCATCACGGCGCAGAACCCAAAAGCCAAACCACGGCACGAGCTCATTGATATAAAGCTCTATACGACATCGAAGACGTCGAACTACGTCGACTTCAAGCAAGCCACTTGCCTGATTGTCAGTTTAAGAAAGTTTGAAGCTCAAGCTCCAGCTCCAGTGTTAAGTTAGACTTCGGTCTCTACTGATGTTGTGTCGTCGTGTGACAACAGTGTGACAACAGTGATAGAATCGAGCCTCACGTCTTGCTCCTGTGTTCCTGGTACTTGTGACTTGCTTATGTATGCCATTTTGCAAGTGGGTGATGCTGCTGCCCACCGGCTTCCAGACGCATTCTCGTTCTGAGCTGGTCATTGTGCAGGAAGCCGACTGGACAGAGCTTGCGGAGTACTTCAACGAGAAAGCGCCCGAGAACGTGAAAAAAACTGTGAAGACACAGGCAGGGTAGCTGTTTGGCACGAGTCAGAAATCACATACATGTTTGTGCTTTTTGTGTTTGCTTGAATTTCCTATGGAGGCTGCGAAGCGAAACTGGCTGGTCAAGGCCACTTGACTGGCAAGGGATGTTTTTTAAGTTTTAACTTCCAGTGCAGGGTTGCAGGGCTTTTGGTCGCTCCAAACGAGTCGTGCTCTGTCTGCGTGTGGCATCAACTGAGACCCTGGGCGTGAAGATCCAGCAGGACCGTCGGGAGCAACCGTTCAAGAGTGAAGTGCTGCAAGGATTTAAGAAAACCATGCAGCATCTGAGCCACGTTTGAGCTGATTGTGTTGCCCAGTTTGGCCGCACACCCCCCACCATGATCAGGATGACCGGGGCATCGAAGGCGTCATTGTTCTGCCCAATTCAAGCAAGCGGAAAGTTGTGGTGGGCACCCGGATGTCCGTCGATAAAACTCGACAATCCGAGCATGAAAGCGGCGGTGCAATGGAGCAAGCCTTCCAGAACGAGTCAGCCTCTGTGATGCCTGAGATGAACAACCAGGCCTGCAAGTGAGTTTTATTGTCGACTGACTACACCGTAAAACTAACTTAAAACCTTAAACTTAGACTAACTTAGACCCTATAAGCCGCGGCTATAAAGCCTAAAACTAAGACTAAAACTGAATCTTACAACCGTTAGCGTTTGGCCTAAACCTAAACCCTCAATAAGTGGATATTTACCAGGCCAGACTCCCAGACCTTGAGAATATTCCTGCAGTGAGTACGGAGCCGAGGTTGTTTGTAGTCGGCAGCCACAACACGGGCTGGGAAAATTCCAACTAAGTTCTGTAAATTGTGTAAATCATGAAACCGTTATTAAACCCTCTAGTCTAGCCTCTAGTATAGTGCGACACACATGAGTCCGATTATCGCCGAATGTTGATTGCGACTTGGTGTGTCTGTTCAAGTATTTGACGGACGAGTGAGGGCCTAACTCTAACGGCTTAACTTTAACTTAACTGATTATGATAGCGACGATAGCGACCATACGCCGAGCCTGACAGGCCGACATTGACCAGGCTCTGGCCCAGCCAGGAGTGGACGAATCTGCACAGCAGCAGGAGGTGGAACCCGTGCCAAGTGATGCGGAGTCCGATGGGGCAACCTTCGGATTGAAGAGATCTGGGGGCGGCTCCGGCAGCTCACCGCGCAAGAGGGTCAGGGCTAAAGCTAAGCCAGGCGCCCGATCCAAGAGTGCCGCTCCTTCAGATCGAGAGGCCCCTCCTGTGAAGAAGGAGAAGCAGGTGTCCGCTGAAAAGGTCCAGAGGACATTGGATGCGGCCAAGGCCGCCTTGCGGGCCTTGAAGTCCATGACACCAGTTCTCTACTGGTCTGGCGGTGCGAAGGAGAAAGACTTACAGACAAAGGTCGGTAAGGCTCTAGCCAGCTGCACGGCACTGGAGAGCCTTGAGACAAACAAGGATGCCGAAAGCTTGCGCGAAGAGTTGCAGGCACTTGTTGAGACGACCAACAGCTGGTCAGAAATCCTGGACAAGTTCAGGCTGTCTGATCCTTTGATGGTGTTGCAAATCCAGACAGAAGATGTTGCTCAGCTTGCAAAGCAGATCCCCGTGGATGCCGTGGCTGCTGTTGTGACAGAGATTGCTAGAAAGCTTGTCGAGGCCAGCTGCTTTGTTCGTGACTTGTGGCAGGCATACTCAATTCAGTCCGTCCATCCAGAGCAAAAGTTCAGTGAGTCATGAGGGGCTGGGGGTGGGGGGGGGGGGTGCCCAACTGGCGCTCGCTCGCTCTCTGTCTCTGTCTCTGTCTCTGTCTCTGTCTCTGCCTCTGCCTCTGCCTCTGCCTCTGCCTCTGCCTCTGCCTCTGTCTCTGTCTCTGTCTCTGTCTCTCTCTCTCTCTCTCTCTCTCTCTCTCTCTCTCTCTCTCTCTCTCTCTCTCTCTCTCTCTCTCTCTCTCTCTCTCTCTCTCTCTCTTTCTCTCTCTTCCTCTTTCTCTCGCTCGCTCTCGCTCTCTCTCACTTTCTTCTGCCTGAGGCCTGGGTCTCTTTCCGTACCGTTGTCTGCCCCTTCTGTTGTGCAGCTGCGGTTTGGTATCATATGAATCATATCAGCTTCTCATTTCTTATAACTTATAACTTATAACTTATAACCTATAACTTATAATTTGTATCATGACAGTATCAGTATATCATCGTCTCGTGGTCAGTATCGCGTCTCCTTCCTGACAAGGCCCAAAGCCACAACGCCACCATGGCCACCAAAGCTTTCTTCCGATTCATTGCCCTCGCCAATTTGGACCAGCCCGGCCTAAGCCTTTTTGCCATCCACACGACGGAAGGCAAGAACAGTGGCCTGGATGAGAAATGCTTGCTGAGGATTCAAGGCAACATGTTCAACATTTGGCTGAACAGCACCAAGACGACCGCCGAGACTGCGGCTGTGTTGCAGAGCATTCCTTCAGAACTTTGGCTGCCGAACCTGGCTAAGCAGCTCTTCCGAAATTTTCTGTAATTTGTGTACTCTACAGACGTTGTTATCACTCTATCGATCATTCATTCTAGAATTCCATCAATCTAAAATTCTTCTCTGTGACAAACTGATATGAGATGAATCGCACTTGGTTCCTCGATGCTGCGTGAATAGATTCGTACCATTCGGATCGCATGTCACAACATGCTTCACTCGTCTTATATCTACATCACCGATTCGGTCATTCATGAGACGATTCGTAGGTCCTTGTTCCATGCACAGGGCTTCTGGGGACACCCCCTCCACGGAAACTTTGGCCATTGACGGTGACAGTGCCAACTGCTCTGGGCTAGTTCCTCGACTGTTGGTGGATCTTCAGAAGTTCATCGCGTGCGGAAAGGTGTCCATGGATGACCAGAGCATGCCCGATCAAGGGCTTTTGGCAGACCCATCCAAAGTCAACGAGCTCAAGATGGTGGTGACTCTTCCTGCCTCTCCTCGGGTGAACCTGTTGTTTCGTGCCCCAGGTGCAATCAGGACTGCTGAGTGCCCCTGTTGATAATGTTCAAGTTCTGATTACTGATAATTTGTTGTAGATTGGTGAGGATTGACTGAATCTAAATGATTCAATGACGGAATAGCTGTTGTCTACGTCACAGTCTGTCTATGGCCTATGTCACAGCCTATGTCGTCTATGTCCCGTCTAAACCCTAAACCAACTCTTTGTCCCGTATGTCTTATGTCAGTTCGGGCGACCGAGTGAGCCAGTGGATGGCAGGCATTTCCAAGCTTCCCGTTCCATGTTTTTGTGGTGATTGCAGGACCATGTGGCAGCGAGTCTTGGATATTTCCAAGCGAGTCATAGAGGAGCGCTCGGCACTCCAGCAAGCGGCCCACATCGCTGAGAGTTTGGAGGATCTGGTGAATGTGCTTTCGCAGCCCGAGTCAAAACGGCTGCAGCCGGCAGAGATTGCCAAGCGAATCGGATTGTGCGCCAGGTGCCATGACTTGCTGGCTGCCTGCAAGGCCTCGCAAGACCCCGCTGCACCGGAGCATGTGACAAAGTTGGAGGGCTTGCTCAGCGAGTTGGCCAGCCTACTTAACGACTCCTACCAGAATGCGGGTGCCTTCGATCAGCTCATGTTCTGCGTGTGGAAGGCCGGCGACAGCGTGGCTGCAGCCATGCCCGATCCAGCTGGCCCGACGGCAGAGCAAGTGTTGAAGGAGCAGATCATTGCAGGCTCAAGTTATTGTCAATTTTGCATCGTTGAACCATTGGTTTTAACTCTACGGAACCTAAACATAAAAAATTCTAGGTCCCCCAGTAAGATGCGGAGGTTGAGCTATTGAGATATTCTGTGGTAGAGTAGAGTACAGTCCCCTCAGGCCGAGCTCGAGGAGTGGTGCTTCATTCCGAGGCGGTGCATAACAAAATGTTGGCAGAGATGGCCAGCTGCATGTGGAACTTTCAGCAAAAGGTCATGAAAGAGGGAAGCTGTCCGACATTGGGCAGCGACAGTGCTATCTTGGAGGCTTGTTGCAGCCTTCACAGGGACCTGAAAGAGCACACCGCCGTGTGCGAGCGGATGCTGAACTCGGGTGATAAGACCGTGTGGTTGGGTACCTGTGTTGGTGCATTGCAGCGCTTGGAGGACCGTTTGCAAGCACACCTGCAGCAAGAGATCCAGGAGAAAGGAGCGGAGGCGATCATGAAATACATGAAAGACATCAAGCTTCCGAAGTGCATCCAAGGCTACAAGGACGTGTTGCTGCAGGCAAATTTCCTCCAGAAGCTCGACGGCAGCACCCTCAAACCTGCAACCGATGAGACTCAGGCAGCAGCTTTTTCCTCATTGACCAGCGCGGCCAAGCAAATGGTGCAGATGAGGAGCTTGGACCAGAAGATCATTGAGGTGGTTCTACCGGGCATGATTGAGAAATGCAAGGGCTTCGAGGAGCAGGTTCTGCAGCACATCAGTGGCATGGCCATTGGAGCAGAGGAAAGCTGTTCCGAGCTCACGGAGACACTGGAGAAGTACAGGATCCGACTGTTCCGAATGTTCGTTCTTGTGTAAAGTTCCGGCCCCTGTATCTTTAGCCTAGGACCTTGGCCTAGTGAATTCTGATCTGTAGGCTCTTTGGTTTTGGAGTTGCCCGATCTCATGTTGGGTTTTCCTTGCAGAGGCCCATCCTCGATGCAGTCGAAGTGTGGAGCATGGACTCCGTTCGGTGGATGCTGGACGAAGACCCAGCCGTCACGGCCGATGTCAACTACATGTTCGAGTTCCGGCACAAAACGGAGGGAGTCCTCTCTTTCAGCCGCGATATCACATGCTTGCTGCAGCAGGCAAAGCGTTCCAGCGATGATCAAGCCTTCTTGGATGATATTGTGAAAGTCCAGAAAGCCGTGGAGGACTGATGTTGCCAAGTATCAATGATAGGCAATGGTTCAATGATAGTCTATTGCAACCTGTCAGTGTCTGAGCTGTTAATGCGGCAATGTCAGGATTCGCGGCGGGATGCAGCCATGATTCTGGCCTGTATGCTGACAGCTGCCACCGTTGTTCGTGCGAATGAGGCGGCGTCGGGTGACAACAGCAAGGAGAGCTTGGATGAAGCTCGCGAAGTGAGCAAGTGTCTGAGCCAGAAGCTTGGGATGAGCACCAAAGACTTGCCGGGCCCCCTCCATCAGAAGTTCCAAGCGATTGGCACGACCAGCATCATGGAGGCTAAAGGTTCCGGAGGGACACTTGTTTGCAGTGGAAGTTTGCGGCACTCATATCGTTGGGCGTTTTCGGTCTATTTATGCCCGAAGTGGGGGCATGGCATGGCTTTGATTGTTTGATTACAATGTCACTATCTGAGGAAGGATGGAGAAAGCAAGCCGCCGGAGCAGGCTGCAAAGAGGCAGCGAAAGAGCAAGTAGTCACCGGTGTGACAGGCCACTGTGAATATCAGTGGACGGTTTTTCTGAATCGCGTAACAACAACCTCGCGAGACAGATGGGGATCCGGGATAAACCGGGGTGAACGTCATGTGTCACATCCAGCGTTGGTTATCGTGCCCGTAAGCCTTTGACTTTTGTGACTTGGTGAAGTATCAGACTATTCCATAGTGAGTGCATCAATGCTGTGATGTGATGGGACGTGGGAGCCTTTTGAGCCAGACCAACCTTGCGATTCTCGACCGCTCAAGAAAAAGATTGTCGCACTAGAGTCGTGCGTGCTGCCCGGCTTTCCGGATTCATTGTCTCTCCCGGCTCCTGTCTCCTTGCTCCCTCCCTTTTATTCGTACTCTATGACTCTGTCACGCTCTCTGTCGATTACAACTTACAGGCCCGATCATTCTATCTATCTGTCAACCCGTTTTTCCGCGAGGTCCAACGGTATGTCCGCTCCTCATCTCTCCCAATAGATTATATCAGCACGTGTTATATATCATATGAGTCTCAGAGGAGTCATCATATTCTTTGTCCATATATGTAGCGATATCTAGGTATTATATATATATATATATATAGCACCGAAATTTTATATATAGTCCAAGGATTACCTCCTAGCTTTTATATATAGCTCAGAGATTTTATATATAGACCGGAGAGGGCCAACGATTAAAGAGGCCCATGCCTCCACTAAGCTATGATGTTTGAGGAAGTTTCGGATCAAGATCTACTACCACAGGGAGATCCTCAGTTGTGCTTTCCACGGGAAGAAGGGCGTGATCAGGGACCACCGAAGAAGCTCCTTAAAAAGGCTGAAGTTCAATACACTCCCGACATAGAGGACATCCTCAAGAACCTGAAGGAGAAGAAACTTCCGCTCCAAGTGACCCACACAGCGAGCCTTCAAGATGTTAAGAACAACCTTGATGAATGGAAGCCGTCGGCAATGAAGGAGTTCGAGAACTTAACAAAAGGAAAAAATGCTTTGGAAGTGACAAAACGTCATCTACTACCTCCTGGATGCCGATTGGTCCCCTGCAAAGGGGTATACACTGTGAAACCAGACAAAGGAGATATGGGTTTCCGGAGAAAAACGAGATTTGTGGCATGTGGAAATCATGTACCGGAAGGCGAGACCACCTTTGACCTCTTTGCGGCGGGGCTGGATGCTACTTCACTGAGGACAATGTTGGCTTTCACTTCCGGAAGAAGTTCATGGAGATGGGGGGTCACGGACATCCGGCAAGCCTTTGTGCTTGCAAAGTGGCTGGGTGGCCCAGTTGTTTTACAGCCCCCTGCGATTGCCTACCAAATGGGATTGGCAGAAGAAGGAGATGTCTGGCTTGTGAGACAAGCCATATACGGCTTGAGGGAGTCACCGGCAATGTGGAGCCAGTTCAGAGATTCCCAGCTACGCCTGGCACGGTGGACTGTTGAGATTGACGGCAACCCGGTTGTGATGAAGCTGGAACAACTCATAACAGATAACCAAGTTTGGCGTATCGTTCGGGAAGATGGTTTGGGAGATCCTCAAGGATATCTGTTGGTGTACATCGACGATATGTTGGTAAACGCAGAGGAGAAAACTATGTGGGGATTTTTCAACTGGTTGTCGGCCAAGTGGGAGGTTGATGAGCTGGACGTCATGGACTATGACCACCCGATCAAGTTCTTGGGAACAGAACTACACCGAGTACCTGGAGGGGTGGAAATGGGTCAAGAAGGCTTCGTCAAGGAGCTCCTGAGAAGCTACCACCACAATGGGAACAAGTCCAAAGTCCAAGGACCCAAAGAAACTTTGATATTGTCCGACGAAGAGGAAAGGGCTTTGATAGATGCACAGCCACATGACCTCACCGGCAAGGAGGAGATCATCAAGGAGGCGCAGAAACGTGTAGGTGAGTTGCTATGGCTCATGGGTCGTTCAAGACCGGACCTCCAACATACAGTTTCGATCATGTCTGCGAGGATTACCAGGTGTCCTGAATTGGTCAATAAAATTGGCGAAAGACTCTTGGACTACCTGAGCGAAACTGTGAGCTACCGCTTGAGCTTCATCCACCACGAGGGCAAGGAGTTTGATTTGGATATTTTTACGGATAGTTCATTTGCTCCAAGCGGGGGAAGGTCTCATGGATCATGCGCCGTCTTCTACAACGATTGTGCAGTAGCCTGGAGATCGGCAAGACAGCAGTTATGTACATTGTCAACGGCAGAGTCGGAACTACTGGAGGCCGTCGAAGGTGTTGTTCTGGGACGCGCAACCAAAGGTTTACTAGACGAACTTACAGGACGAGACCTGCGCATGAACTTGCTGGTCGACAATGCCGCGGCAGTAACACTGCTGGCTTCGTTATCGGGTTCTTGGCGGACTCGACACTTACGCCTACGCTCAAACTGGCTACGGGAACTCATTCAGAACAAGGCAGTGAACCTCCGTCACCAACCAGGTGAAGGACAGCGGGCTGATATTGGGACGAAACCGTTCTCAAAGGTGAGGTTGGAACAGCTGGTGAAGCTGTGGGGAATTGTTGATCGGCGAGCTGCTACCACGACGACGGCGAGATCAGCGAGGGTTAATCCTACCTGGTTGACAACAATGCTGATGCTTTGTCAGGTGTGTGGTTCCCTGGGGCAAAAGGAAGATCTACAAACAGAAGTTCCTTGGGACCTCTATGTCATCATTCTGATCCTCGCAGTCGCGGTCATTGGGCTTTGGGAAGGAGGGAAGAGTTGCTTGAAGTCAAGAGGACCGCAAGTACGAGCCCTACGTGCCAAAGCAGATACAGCTACTGCAACCCGTGGGAAGCTTACGAGGAACGAGCTTAAAGAGCTTCAAAGAATGCTGATGGTAGAGCCAAGTGATTTGAGTGATGAACAAAAGATTCGTTTGGTGGAACTTCAAGACAAGTTCAACGAGACTATGCCAGAGGGAACCTCACCCGTACCGAGATACCCCGCAGAGCTGTTCCAAGGATTTGCGGAATCCTCTTCTTCATCTACGGCAACTTCATCAAGGACTCCCGCGCCGTCAAGTTACAACAAGCAGCCCAAGGGCAAGGAGATGAAAAGTGTCGAAACCCAGACCGACCATGTTCCAGCTTTCACGAGAGTTGAACCACCACCACCGCCAATGATCCGCACCTACGCAGGCCCTTTTTATCAAGTACCCGGAGGAGATAAGTTTCATGTTTTCCCCAACTGTTGGGGACTGCGGCATGCATCGCGGACCAACTCAATCGAAGTCTGTAGATGCTGTGCTGAGAATGGTGGTAAAAGGATCTATTGAAACGAGAATGCCGATCACAATGATCCGAAGATCCAGTGGTGCTTCTGCTCTAACGATGGAAGCAAGGAGGAGTGCGGAAATCTGCATTCCCGTCTGTCAGGAGTTTCGCATGCCTTGCTTTGTAAAGTTGTGCACTGAGAACTTATGCTCGAGCACAGAAGGACCGCATGCATGTATAGGATCGAACTTAGCCTAGACAGGGCTTACGATCAGAGCATTCACAGGTCTGTTGCGAGTAAAACAAGTTCGATTGCAGCTCCTGTGGAGCACATGTGTGGCCGGCGCTGATTTATTGTCTGCATAAGTCCGACCTCTACCCCAATTCGAAGTTCAATATTTTTGTATTGCCCCGTTGTTCAATAATGGCATGTAACCATGTGCCTTGAATAAATAAGACCCCTGGGAAGCAGTCGGCAACCATTGAATGCAAACTCCTTTTATGCACTATGTCTTTCAGTAAAGAATGAAAGAAACATTCGTAATGGCCCTTTTGTTTTAGAGCCCTCCCTACATATACGTCGAGCTCTGGCATATTCGACACACAAAAGACATAAACCCAGGATAAGCCATCTCTCGTTAGTAAACTCGTGCGGTTCATGCCCATCCATATATAGCAATTGCAGCAATAGTTTTTGGTTAACACATCTCGTGAAAACAACACATGCTCACAAATCTTTCGGCCCTGATATACCCATAATATGCAATAAACCTTGCTGCAGGCTGCCACTGCCAGCCCGGCCGCAGAGGCCCCGACTGCAAAGGCGGTCGTTTTGGCAGTGGTTTGGTTATGTAGTGGTACGGTTTGGTATTGGGTTCAACACATGCTTTCAGACTGCTTTATACCCACTTAGTGGACTTAGCTAAGTCCCATCAAAACACTTAGTCCACTTAGTCTAAGTCACTTAAATGGGTTAGACTAAGTCCTCTAAATGACTTAGCTAAGTGGCTAAACTAAGTGACTTAAGGGACTTAGCTTAACTCCCCTAATTGTTTATCTAAGTGTATATATAACTCATGTAACCGATTACTAAGTGGCATAACCACTTACTAACCCCACCGACCCTCCAAGTAGCGGGTCGCCTTGCTCACACCAATCTCCTTGAGCGATGTTCCGGCACCTGCCTTGGGCATCCTACCAGCAGTAAGTGGACGGTCCCCCGTAAAAAAGGAGCAACTCTGGCGCGGCCGCTTTGGGTGCAGTCAGGAAGGATGCCCGAGACATGGTGTCGTAGGCACTCCGCCCGTCGAGCGAAACCAACGCTGCGTCATCGCGCAATTCCAGTGCCGTTCGCACACATGCCGCGAAGGCGTCCATGCCAGCACGTGCTTGCAAAGCGCGTCGCCTGATCAGACACCGTCGCCCAACTTTTGGCGAGAGCTCGCGAGACGAGGCGGCGAAACACATCGCCCGTCGCGATGCCGCGCACACCGCCGTCGGGCTTGCGAAGTGCCGTTATAGGCGTGCCAAAGCAAGGGCTGGGACGATGTTGGCGGGCACTTCCGCATTGGCGAGCTTGGTCGCCGCGAAGGCGAGAAGCTCCATAGCGGCAACGTCAATGAGCAGAATCTTTAAATGCTCCGCGCGCATACCCGTCAGTCCCGCCGCGCCTCCCCGCCGTGCTTCGCGCAACGCTGCTGCAACAACAGATGGACCAACTTGGATGGGCTGGGCGGGGCACAGTGGTTCCTGCCCGGCGTCCGGGATGGGGTTCGCGGTTCCGGTGGACGCTTTGCGGGGTCTGTTAAGGCTCGCCACGTATCCTCGTCGCCGGGCGCAAGTTCTGCAGCGGTAAGGAGCTGACGGGCTCTTGAAAGCTCGCCAACTTTTACTTTCGCGCAGGCTTGTTCGCGCTTGCGCTCGGCGAGGGTTTCAGCGTCCAGGGCCCGCCCCGCGTGGACGCGACAGAACGGTGCGCCGCGGCCAGCAACGATACCCAGTCTCCTCGCTGGAACGCTGATGCACGGGATAAGAGTTCATCCCGCCCCTGGGCTCCTCGATGGGCCGTGCGTGCGAGGAGCATGCGAGGGGCAAGGAGGAACAGCTTCCATGCACGGGACGTGCGGGCGGCGTCCGTCGTGGTGCGGCCACTGGTGGAGTCGCGGGTGCGGCTCAGCGCAGTGACCAGTGCCGCGCGAACAGCCGATCGCATGAACGGCGGCACATCCTGCATTGTGGGGACGGGGCTTCGCAGCTCCTTGGTCATATCCACAGCGTCAAGGGTGGCCCAAGCCGTTTCCGGGATCCCCGCCGTCGTGCGTGTAGCGTCTTCCCGTGGTGCTGCGCGTCCTGGGCAGACAGGCACGCCATCCTCGCCTTCATCGCTGGATGGGGGTGCATGGCTCGGGCCTCGCGCAACGCGGCGGCGGGCACGCCGTCGGCCACATCGAGCCGTGTGCGAGCGCTCCCCGCGATCTGCGTGCTGGGCGCGGCGCGCATCGTCTGCAAGAGCCCGTGCGGCGGTTGCTCCGGCGGCTCCTGCGTACGATTCGAGCAACGTTGATTGCGCGGCTGCTGTGAAGTAGCCATCCGGGCCCATACACAGCAGCACAGCCGCTGGCAAAGGTAATGGCCCGTCTGATAGCTCCTAGTGCCGCTGCCGACGCACGATCCTCCGCCGATATGTTCCGCTGCGCCTCGTGCGCTTCGCAGTCGGCCACGGCGAGCATTGACCGCGCCAATTCGCTCGGCCGCACTGGCGGTGCTTCGCGCAAGAGAGTCGCAATGTCGATGAACCGGGGGCCCAACATCGGACACGCTCCCCAAACATGTTCTGCCCGCTCGCTGAGGTTGCCAGCCCCTGCATGTCACAAGGGGACATACAGCCGAGAGTTGCGCTCGCCGGGGATTTCGATCGGCGGGCGGGCGTCCTGCCAGGGCAGCGGTTCGATGTTGTCGGGTGGCGCGGGCGCGATCGGTGTGCGTGGCGGCGTGAAACCCGCCGTCGCCTCATCCGTTGGGCGCGGCGCCATGTCGCCGTCGAGCACGCCTGGAGCCTCCCCTCGTGGCGAAGCAAAAGGAGTGGCTTCGCTGAGCGAATCCGTCAACCGCTCGGCGGCATCTGCATCCGACCTGTGGTCGCGTGGAGCGGCCAACCGGGCACGGTGCAGCAGCTGCATTTGTTCGAGAGAGGGTGCAACGCGCGCTCCCGACGGCTCGCCACGTCACGTTCAGGCGATGGCGGGCCAGGGTGGGCAGCTTCCCCGATTCGTTTGCCAGCGTATGGGTGCGGCGTCCACGCTCGCAGGTCGCTGGTAAACCCACTCGACTCCTGGAAAGCTTGCGGCACACCAGACCCGTGTAAGCAAGTACGAGTATAGGGGTGAGCCGTGAAGCGGGTAATGAAGTTTCGCGAGCGTAGTCTAGGAGCCGCTGGGCCCCCGTGGCATCCGGCCAGGGCGCGTGGTCGTCGACGGGTGGTTGGCACATCCAGGGTACATCGGCCGAGGCTTGCGTTGGCTGGGGTGGCGAGGGTCCGCCCCCATCCGGCGGTGCAGTTGCTTCCCGGAGCAATCGGCAAAGCAGCTCCTCCGACGAAGTCCCCGCTTGCGCCGCCAGGGCCTGCAACTCCGCACGACCTCCCGCCGCACATGCGAGGACGTGCCTTGCAGCTGTGCGCCACGCTTGTTGCGAGGTGGTGGGGCGCTCTTGTGCAAGCGGCGGCAACCGGCTGGAAAGGAAAAACGCCGTCGCAGCACTGCCCAACAGCTGACCGAAGCAGAACCAGCCCCAAGACAAGGACCACGGGCCGCAGCCGGGCGGGTAGTACGCCGGCGTACCCCCAGTACAAACCAAGGCATACCAAGGCTGCGTGCATCAAGGCCTCCCGGCAGGTGGGGGGCAGCTGGGCTAGAGCAGGCGCGGCCCGGCCGGCTTCGTGAGCCACCCACTGCGCCACGCTCCATCCGAGCGCGCGCGATCACCACTGTCGAAGCTAGACCCTTTTCTCTTGAGCCTTGATCCGCTTGAGCCAAAATGTCTTGAGCCAAACCCCACGCCCGTGGCCGTTTGCTCGACCTAGCTGACGCAGCTGGGCCGAGCCGCCTGCCATTCCGCGGCCCGTAGACACGTCGTAGTGAAGGCAGCTGTGCTGCGTGTACAGCGTAAAGCATGGACCTAGGTCATGCAGGCGCAAAAGAGACGTGAAAAAACATAAAACTAGCCCATTGGCGTTGTCGGGTTCTGCGTCACACGAACCAAGTCTTCCGATTCTTCCTTTTCCTGCTGTGATAGGGCCGTCCCATGCCGCCCCTACATTGGGCACCGGGTATAGTACTGGTTGAAAAATGTGGATTCTGTTTGTTGGTACGTACACACGGCTAGTATTGATATATGCAAGGTCACGGAACCGGACCACTAAAATCGCGGCCCGAACGGCAGGGATCAGTTGGCCAAACCTAGTTGAGTCAGGCGTTCGGGATGCTGCCGAGAAGCAATGGAAAGAATTACGGAATGACTCGCTGGCAAAAGTGCCGTCGGCTTTGAATTTGCCTGAAGACGACCCCGTCGACTTCAGTCGTGGGTGGCAGCGCCACGCATTTCGAGCTTGGTGAAGCTGCGACCCTCGTCAAGCTCCTTGAACGCCTGCGTGCGCACACTGCCCCCGCGGACCAAGGTGTAGCTTCCTTCCGTTGTCCATTGTCTGTCGATGGTCTTGTTTGCTTTCCTTCGCGGCCGCCAAGGCTCGATGGCGAAGCCTGCTGCGGCTGCTGCTGCTGCTGCTGCTGGCAGTACCCATGACATCCCAAGACGTACATAGAACCCGACAACGTTGCACACAGTCGGCATACTGGCGTCTGCATGCTCCCGTTCCCATCCCGGGTGAAGCTTCCATCCTCCGTGACGAGCTCGACCGTCGCTGTTTGCCCTTCCGGTCTGCAGGCTGCTGTGCTTGCCCCTTCCCTTGTGCCATGCCAGTGCCACTGTCACAGTTCGCTTAATCGGCCTGCTGACCATCAGTCTGCGCGTGCCACCTCGGGCGTTTTGGCCGTTCGAGCCTTGCGTCGAGAGGTCGGTCCACAGGTTGCGCGCCATGTGCGACTGGCGACCATAAACCGAGGCGCAGAGGTCGTCGCCAACGGGCTCCGCTGTGGCATGGGTCCCAGCTAGCCCGTGATGCTACTATCGTGTTGCCCCTCACTCTGTCTACAGCCTCAGCTGCCAAACGGAAACGTCACAGTCCGTTGGGGAAAAAACGTCACAGCACGACGCTTACCCGGACTCACCTTGAGCTGGGCAGGCAGTGCTAGATGGTGCCACGTCGTCGCCGGCGTAGAAGTTGGCGGCAGGTCGGTGCTGATGTTGTCCAGCTGATCCGTCTCCTAGCACCCCAGCGACCCCAGCTTGCTGACTCTGAGCCTGACATCCACTAGTAGTAGATGCCTCGCCAACGCGCGTTGGCAGGAGGAAGTCGCTGCCGGCCGTTTCCTGCCACGCTCGTGTGGTTCGCTTCCTTATGCCGGTAGGATGGCTCAGATTCATACTTGGTCCAATGCATCGCGCGCGCAAGAAAACGTGAACAAATAAGACTCACAATCCTCGGCGTCAATGTATTCAGACTCCGAATGACAAGTTGCAAGCAACAACATAAGCATGAGGATGAGGGTTGCAGAGAAGATGATGAAGATGGCGAGATATGGCGAGATCGCGAACAAACAGGCCAACGGTGGTTTAGATTCCCGGCAGACACTGGTGTTCTTGCGAATGTAACCTTGTGTTCAAAGGCAAATAGCTGATAGGTAACGTATACTTTCTTTCAAGTTTGGGTTTGCTCAATGTTGGGTTTAGCTATGTTTAGCTTATTACTGATTAGTTCGTGGCTTGAGTACTCGCGACAGTCAGGCGACGCAGAGTTTTGGTAGACAACATTTTATGTTTGATGACTCGTGTTTCGTTCACCGGCCCAATCGGTTCTATTGCTCCAGCCGTTGCTCGAACCGGCTATGTTGGGAGTTGTAGCCGGGCGACAGCATGAAAGCATGTGTGCCCGTGCTGCTGCCGGAAAGTTCGTCCCGTGCGAGCTCGCCCATGAAAGCGGCTGAGTCGCAGTGCGACGAAAGACGTTCCAACCCCGTTCATGTAGATCCATTCCCCCCAGCTGAGGCTCGTGTGCTCTATGGGCAGCCGTCAGTTAGCAGTCTTTCGTCGACGTCGCTCTTCACCCTTCCGCTATTCTGCGTGGTTGCTCAAGCTTGGCATCACCAACGGAGGCAGGCAAAATCCTGCCTCATCGTCTACATCGTCGTGTCAGTGTCATCGGTGCTAGAGGTCGTGCAAGTCCCGGGCCAGTATAAGAGACGGTGTGCTAGCAGCCTTGCAGGCCTGGCATGTCAAAGTATTAGGTCAGATGGGGATGTGGCATGCTTGCCTTGTCAAGAGACGTGCAACGACACTGCTTTGCACATGTTGCCATGCAGGCCGATGACAACGATGATGGGTCGCTGCCCTGGTGTTTGTTTGTGCGTGTTCGCCTTGCTGTCTCGCCGTACAGATCCACATGTACCAGCGCAGGGGTCACCTGCTTGCAGAACGAGGTCTTCGTCACGAAACAAACGAGGAAAAGGCAAGCAACGAGGAAAGGGCAAGCAGAAGGCTGCGAGGCCTCCGCATGGGAAGTATTTTTGGGCTCGGGCTGCCACAGCTTCGGTATTCAATTCTTCGCCTGTTTTTTTAGATCCGGGGAGATCGCAGGAGAGCTGCAAAAGACCAGGACATCGGCAAGACTGATGGTTTGCTGATGCTCGTAACGGCGATTCTGCAGAAACGTCACAGGTGCGATGTTTGCAGCAAAAATTTGAGTTCGCTTCTTGGTTGGGGACAGAATCCAGGTGGATGTGTTTACGTTGTACAGCAGCCCCCAGTCCCTGATTTCATGTTGCATGAGCACGCCAAGAATTGAGAGGGTGACAGTCCCTGCTTGTATGCCGCCAGGGTAATGATGTTTCGAGACTTCGAGATGTTGTGCATGAGCAATGATCTGGAAACTGAAGACGTGCTCTCCAAGTGTGAGTTCCTCGTTCGAGAGGACGGAATCTGCTGGTGTCCACAGTAGTATGGAGCCGCCTGCGTGGGTGAGGTGTTTTGGAGGGACACGCAAGTTAAACGTGCATGAACTGGTTACGCTGCATCTTGCTACCCGACACCCACAGGCTTAGTCAGTTCTGGGGTTCCCCGAATCACTTTGGAGGGATGCTCGCTGGTGCACCAGTTTTGGCAGTACACATGCCTGAGTTTTGACAGGACTCTGGCCTCGCCGACATCGTTGAAGTGCAAAGTTTGGATGATGCACTGGTGTTCTGCTTGGTCGAGAAATTTGGTCGCGATGGCGACAGCATCACCTTGCAGCTTTCTGACCTTGGCAAATGTGCCGCCCAACTGTTACCCAAGCATGAGCGAGAAACAAAAAGCCTTCAGCGCATTCTGGCCCTTCATGCGGACAAGTTTTGTGTTTCGGGCACCACCGTAACCATCCGCAAGCGACCAACCTGGCCAGAGCCATCGTTCGACGACGCAGTCCCAACATCATTGCCGAAGCTGTCAGATGGTGTCGAACAAGAAGAAAGCACAGACTCATCAGCAGTCACGGCTGACACTTTTGCTGGCCGATTGAGAAAGTCAGTGCCCGACATCACAGAAGCTTTGGTGAAGCAGCCGGTCCTTTTCAAAGGCAGTTTGGGAAAGACGTCGGCAGAATCCGACACCAAGAAGCTGGCCAGCGCTTTTGAGAGATGCATTCAGCAGTATGGATTTCTGATGCATGGAAGCCGTTGAGCACACAGTTCTTAAGATCGCGTGTTCCGTGAGTCGCTGTTTTCCATCGTATAGCGGCCTGCCCACAGAAAGATGTTACGTAACACCCTCAACACTAGGAGACCGGAGCTCCTGGTTGCGGAGATTGACTCTGCTTGCGCTCTCCGAGACATCTCTGAAGAAGCTCGTCCGCGCTTGCCTGTGTTGGGACGATCATCGAACCAATCTGCCGAACATTCATTCACTAAGTGCCGCCGTCGTTGGGGATGTCGTAGATGGTAGGCAAATGTAGGCAATATGTCACATCAAGTGCAGTTGTGGACGTCGTGGGCAATGCGTGCAGGAAGAGCTGCTGAAGGATGCGTACGTTGGAGACATTCTGGCAGGCTTTGCCACAAGACTTCTCCTTGTCGCATCTTATGTTCGGGTGTCCCTCGTGAGCCAGCCGATTCTCACGATCCACGATCTGGAGATGCACATTCTGTCACACCCGATGTTCAAGAGCAACAGCCGGTTCGAAGATGCATGTATGGGCAAGCTGCAGTTCCACCCGCTGGTGAAACATCATTTCGGCTTGAACGACTTGCCCAGCATCCCGAAGAGCTTCCCAGCGATTGGCGGGAGGGAGATACTGCACTATTTGTTCTCTGCAGATGTGCTTTCAACACTTATTGGCAAAGGAACACGGCTGTCCGGCAAGAGGGCGAGATCTGCATTTGCGGCTTTATCCCAGATTGCCGAAGCTCATCGCTTGGATGACTTTCGCGAGCTAGGCTTGCATCGGTTCTGTTTAACATTTCGGCATGTGTGGTGGGCTAATGCTGAGGCTCCCAATTAAGTGGCTAAATTGCATGCATTGCCGACCCCCGAGGCATTGCCGTGCAAGACGGCTCCTTCTTGGGGCAGATCATTCCCGCCATGGACACCTCAAAGCTTGAACTGCAGGGCGTTATGCGGGCAGGTGATGGGCATGGGCAAGAGTATGAATGTGAGTGTGGAACATGACTGACAGACGTGCCACAGCGAGATACACCGAGAGAGTAATCAGGAAGAGCAAGCGAGGTTTGCTGGGGACTGGGCACGAATGAGTCCTGTTCATCAGCATCCAAAAGTCGTTTAATGCGGCTGACACAAAGCTGCAGCAGAAAAGACGAACAGAGCCAAGGATGAGCACCCCATCTTATCACGAGGACTGCACGCACACAAAATTTTAGCGGTTAACGATTTGAGCCGTGCACACACAGGGGCTCTGGGCCCCCGTCTCTAAGACACCGAAAGAAGGAACCACAACGGGCTTTGACCGGCCCTCATGCCCGGGAGAGCGAGAGAGAGAGAGAGAGACCAAACGTACTGGGGGACTAATTGGTTGTCTCACGCCTTCCCAAAGTCCCCATAACAAGTGGGGGGCCCATGCGGCCGGAGGGCCTAAACAGCCCTCTACGCCCAGCGGAAGAAGAGAGAGAGAGAGAGAGAGAGAGAGAGAGCGAGCGAGAGAGTCAAACTTGCCCGACAGTGGCAAGACACAATCGATAGGGACTGGCAACCTACCACAATCCAATCGCCTGGCTGCACGTGCTGGGCTGTTCTGGACCGGCAGTCCCTGAAATGGGGCCCAACCCGCGAATGAACGCGGTCTTACACGGTCATCTTGACTTGCACCTGGGGGTGCTCCTCACATGACCGTGGTGCCGTGGACATTGCCTGTTGTTTGAAGCTCGTGGTCCAGCCACGAAAGTGAGAGGGTGCAAGTGTTTGTGCTCGAGTCGATCAGGCGTCTGCTTTTCAGTTGAATAGACTCACGAGAGCGAGAGGGAGACAGAGAGAGAGGATTATCTCATCTCGAAGTCCATTGTTTATCAGTTGGTCGTCATATCCTCTTCAGTGTCGAGGACAAATGATGCTGGCACACTGCATGTGTCCTTTGAGAGTGTACAGTCATCTAGCTCCGCTATCGTACTGTTCATGCCTCTAGCCTTCAGATAACCTACGCTCGCTACTCACTCCCTTTTTCCAACAACACGTCGGGTGGGCATGATGCCCCAGGGACTTGATCGTCCCTCATGCCCGGGAGAGAGAGAGAGAGAGAGAGAGAGAGAGAGAGAGAGAGAGAGAGAGCGCGAGAGGGGGCTGGACTGCTCCTTCTTTGGCTGCGTGCAAGCAAGATAGAGAGAGAGAGAGAGAGAGAGAGAGAGAGAGAGAGAGACAGAGAGAGAGAGAGACAGACAGTTGTCCTAGTTCGGTTGAATTCTGCGGGGGACTCCCCAGTATGCCATGCATGCTCCTTTCCTCCGTTGGCACCCGCAACAGTCGGGCGCGCACATGCGCGTGGACAGGCGTGTTTCCCCTGGCCCTAGCCCTGGCGAAAGAGAGATAGAGAGGTGTCCAAGTTGATCGAGAGACCCTGACCGATTTATAGTTCAATACACTTTGCTGGCATTATCAGGGGGACTCGATCTTTCTTCACGCCTTCCCGAAAGCCCCATAACCAATGGGGGGCCATGCGGCCGGGGGGCTTGATACGCCCCCCATGCCCTGCAGAAGAAGAGCAGAGCGAAGGAAGGAAGGAAGCAAAGCAAAGAGAGAGAGAGAGAGAGAGAGCTTCGGCACCCTAACCTTGGCGAAAGAAAGAGCTTCGGATGACCCGCATGTAACGGGGACTTGCAGCCGTCGTTCCACGAAGGCCAACGGAGTGAAGATGGCCGGGGGAGGTGGCCAAGTGTTTTGTTGGACAAACGGTTTCTGTAGGCTCGTTCTACTGTTTTGCTGTAAGCTCGGAGCAAGTATTTGGACGGCCACGGGAAACCCCGCCCAGTAGTTGTGTCTGGGGAGACCGTGGATGACCCGAATGGCGCTGGAAGGTTTACTATGCGGTTTAGGAGGGTGTTTTTGGGGGGATTGGGTATACCAGCACATTCGGAGGAACACGTGCCTTCTCCCAACCACGGAAGCGGCGAAGCCGACAATGGATCCAGCGCGCCGCGAGGGGGTAGGCCTTGGGGCCAAGGGGTTGCGCGCAACCCCTAAACCCCTAAGCAAGCAAGCAAGCAAGGCTCTTGTCTGTATGTTTCGTGAGTTGATCACACTACTCTGCCGGGTTGTCAGTCACCTTGCTTCGCATTCAGTATGGAGGTGCCTTGAGCGGGGGGCAGAGGGACCCCGCTGCCTTCAACCCCCTAAAGAAAGAAGGCTTTGTTGGTCGCTTTGCATGTTTGTTGGACAATGCAACATCCGAGGGCCGACCAGGACAAACCTATGGATACACATCGGGGTCCAAATCAAAACGGGTTGCTGTCTGCTGCATGTGAGGGCAAGCGGCGAACTTTGGCCATGGTGTTCTTGCATATCTTACTATCTCGATACGCGATAAGCGTCCATAAATCCAGATCTGGGGATATCATGTTCAGCACCACAGGTGCCTCCATTTTTCATCATCATCATCATCATCATCACCACCAGCATAATCATCCACGAGTTTGCCGCTGAGCTAGTGGCTTCTCCTATCAGTCCTTTCATAGCTGAATCTGAAACGGGGCTATATAGAATCTTAAACAGGTCGGTGGCTACATCGATGCCACATGGAGACATAGGTCTGGAGAGCGTTTCGGTCATCTTTCCCTTCAGTCGAATTCCCAAACCCACGAAAGTCTTTGGGGGTCCGGCCCGCGAACAAACAAGCGTGCAAACCCACCTTCAAGACGAAAAGGCAGATGCGTACAAGTCTTTAAAATGCTCAATGCTTAGTGCATGTTCCAATTTGTAGCTCTGTGCACCTTTTTTTATATGGGCACAGACAGTCTTCTCTTTCGTGTTTTCACCTACACACATACATACATACATACATACATACATGCATACATACTCTGTATTTGCTCGTTTTTGCGTGGCTTCGAACAATCTGTCTTGTTCAGAGTTTAGCTATTTCCGAATCCTTCCAACTAGACAAGCCAGATAGCATGCAGGGGTGTGTGTGCCATTCGCCCGTACAAAGGCTAGTATGTACGTACTCGTATAGAAGTTTCAGCTTCGCAAATTTATGCAGTTGTCAGAACAGGGAGTTGCAAATGTCACTATGTAGCAGTCTGCTCCAGCTTTGCTCGCTCACTGGTGACCGCAAGGTGGGCAGCAGACCATTCCGAAAGCGCTTGCCGAATGGATTGCTTTGAGTTTGCCTTCGGAACACGAGGAGCTGTTGATAGAGCATCACAGCTGAACTGATCCTGTGCAAAAGTGCGCCTGCGCTGCCGTTCCTAAGTCCCCGAGCTCTGCTTGGCGCACGAAGGCTAGCGAAGTTGAGCAGCAAGGAGAAGCAGCAGGAGTTGGTGAGCAGCCCCTTCCCTATTGCATAGTTGGTCCGGTTCGAGCTCACTGTATGCAGCGAAGCCGGAGCCTGAGCTTGTTCAAGGCACAAGCTCTCCTGCAGGCATAACATCCAGAAGACCGGACTGGCCCAGTGGGAGTTACAAACTTGGTCTGGCGGATAAAGTTGCAAACTATGCACGCTGGCTATTCGCTGAACTGCTTCAGCTGGCAAAGGCAGAAGAAACCTCAGGACCCGCCGGCGGTTTTAGTCCGTGCAAGGTGCCAGCAGAGCAACTGTTTGTGCAGGAAACCCAGAGGAAGTTGGGGAAGTTGATCTCTCAGAAGTCCCTCCTGAAGCACGCAGTAGCAAAAACGAGGCGGCTGCCCTTGCTGCAACATGCGGATGCAATGTGATACGATGTTCAGTTGCAGGCACAGCCTTGAGTCCTTTCAGTGCTATAGACAAGATCGAACCGCCGCCTTTGCAGGCAGACGAGCGAGGTCAGGCTGAGGATATGCCGGTGAAGCTCAGCAACCGTTTCCTGCACAACTTGAGGGAGATCCTGCGAGAGCAAAATCTGGAGCTGGGAAGGCTTTTGGAAGCGCCGCTTGTCGCACCAAGCTCTGAGCCATAGTGCGTGCCGGAGACGAATAAGCAGAATGAATGTCTTTTTTTATGGAGGCAGCTCAGTTGAAGCTGAGGGTGGGAAGCTTCGAAGATCGCATGTGCAAGGAAGAGCAGAAGAAGGATTGGAGCGACATGAAGCTTGGCAGTTTTGGCAACTGGTTGGCGTATCTGGTCTGCAGAAAGCTAATATACGAGGATGAAAGATAGGCCCAGATAGGCATTGTGTTTCATTTTGCATGGCCGACGAATGTCTCGCAGACGCACTCAGCTCAGTTTTCGCCGCATGTAGAAAATAGAATATCTGAGGCAAAATAGCGACCAGATAGCCAATTCTGCTGGCTTGGTGAGCCGTGAACAGCTGGATGTCGAGAAAGCTGCGCATGATTCTGGGCCGGAAGCTCTAAGCACGTGCTAACAGGGAAATCGATATGTTTGCAGAGCCATGCTGAGCCTTCAGGCGGCTTCGAGGCTTGCCCTGGCATGCGCAGACGGAGAGACAAGCAGTTGCTGAGGACATGTGCCGTCGCATTCGTGCAGATGGCAACCATGAGGCTGCAGATTCGCCTTGCCTTCTTTGAGCGCAAAGCCTTGAAGCACGAGAGATCATGTCAGGATCCAGTGCTGGTGCTGCATGTTCTGCAGCAACACTATGCTGGGGTGTTGCATCTCGGGTGCATGAGTTGTTCAGGTCTGTTGGGTTCGGAACTGGAAGTGGCCTTGCCAAGCTGTGTCAGAACTGATCCCACTAAGGACCGATTCCGAGCTGCAGGCTATCGTCGACAACGTTGGCGATGCCGAGATGGAGACCAAGCCTGAGGGAGATTCGACGGATGTGGTGCTTCAAGCCTCCGGCTCGCATGTGTCTCTCCCTGCAGCACAGCAAGCAGCGATGAGCGAAGAGAGGGACAGGCTGTTGGAAAGCGCGACGGAAGCGGCGCTGTCATGTCCCGTGCTTTTCGACGTGGTGGAGTCACTGCCAGAGTGGGAAAGAGATTTTGGAGGAGCTCTGGCCATGGACGTCGGCGGTTTCCTGCGGTCGCCCGAATTTCAATCGCGAGCCAGGAGGAGAGGAGCGGTTGGCTGCATTTTGGAGGTCCGCCACTCCGTTTTCGTGCGCTTGCCTTCAGCCGAAGACTGCTCCACGGAGCGACTCGCGAAAGCCCTGGAAGCCGCGGACGGTCGCCGTGTCACTGCCATCGTGTTGGCCCGCCTGCTGCGAGAGGGCACGGCTGCACCCCTGTCGCTGTTAAAAGAACAGATCTCCAAAGGCTACAGGGCCTTCGTTGAGACGCAGCCGGAGCGCTTCCTGCTCACAGCCATCGCAGCCCTGCCACGGGACATCGCTTGGAAGGAAGTTCTGGAGATCATCGCCTCTGGCTACATGCGCATGGAGCGGCCCCCCGTGGCTTTACTCAACTTGGTCTTCGATGTCTACGAGGGCGTCCCTAGCTTCCGAACGGCGCTGAAGCGGCTGGGCCTTCACTTCCGCATCACAGAGTGGACCGACCTATCGCGGCCACAAAATCACCAGGCTGCCGGCAGCCGAGCAGCATCGACAGCAGCAGCGGTAACGGCAGCAGCGGTAGCAGCAGCAGCCGCTGGCGGAGTGGGGGAGGCGAAGGCTCGCACAACTGCAACCGTGTGTTGCTTCTGCTGGGGCTCTGTCTCAGGATGCTGGCGACATGCAGAGCTACCCTGCCACAGAGCAGCCTTCTACCTCCGCAGAAGCGGTGGTGCAACTGGCAGCAGAAGAGGAGGACGCAGAGAACGAGGACCGGCACACTTGCTTGGAGTATACTTGTGGACGTGTGTACAGCGCCTGTCACTGTAACCCCTGCAACTGGTGCAGGAAGTTTGCAGACGAATAGCTGCCATGAAGACGCTTGGTTCGCAGTGCCGCGTTTGGGTTTCGCAACATGCGATATTACTAGAGGAATGTGCGAATCAGCGAATCAGCTGCTTCAAGCTGTCCGCGAACAGGAAAGTTGACTACGACTGTGTTGACTTGGCGAAGCGCGAGTGGATCCAAGAACCTGGCGATCCTGGCGTCCGGTCTTTGCAGCAGACAGTGCAGGGGGCTGTGAAACGACTTTCTGAAGACTTGTACAGTGGTGAGGCGCGTTTGTTTTGTAATCATGCGACTCGCTTTGTGTCGTTGCACCCCGTGAGTTGCGCTACCTGAATTGAAGTGCTTCCACCTATGCCGTTAGGAAATGCTGACAGACACCGGCAGGCTCACTTTTTGCTGGAACTTCTTCAGAACTGCGATGACTGCACGTATCCGGAGGGTGCCTCCGATATCAATCATCTCACCGTTTTCGTGCACAACGCAATGCACAGCAAAGCCTTTTCCGATCTGCGAACAGGCGAGATGCCGACCTTGCGTCTGACTTTCGAACCCAGGCAGGATTGAGTTTGTAAGCTACTTCGCGCCAGCACGCTCACGATGGACAGGAAGCAGAAGTTCGAAGAGCTGAGCAGCTTCCGTGCAGGGGATGCCGTGGAAGCTTTTCTTGTTGTGGAGTATAACGAGAGAGGCTTTGAGGACAGGAAGTCCTGTTTTTGCATAGCGATGCGAAGAGTGCCGGTTGTGCTGCGGATAGACGACACGCAAGTTTCGCAGGAGAAGAACGTCATCGCCATCTGTGACATAGACAAGTCCACCAAGCAGGCTACTGACAAGAAGTTCATTGGTGCCAAGGGAATTGGCTTTAAGTCTGCTTCTCTGATGCATCAGATCCTCACATCCTGGCATATCCTGGCATTGACATGACATGCAATGGAAATGCAACCCAATTGAGGTGTTCCTCGTTACCGCCACCCCTGTTGTGCACTCTCGTGGCTTTCATTTCCACTTCGACGCTGAAGCACTGCCTCTTGGAGAGCAGTTATCCGTCCACCAGGATGATGGAGCCAGTGTCCCTGATGGCGGAGGCAAGGATTGGGTTCGCTGTTGCCCTTTCCCTTGAAGCCGGCCTCAACGCCACCTCGCGGGACACGGCTCGTCCTGCCCCTGAGCAGCATCCAAGGCTGGGCGTGAATGCACAGTCAGCTTGGTCCTGTCTCCCGTCCCGGGCAGGGCCGTTGAGGAAGCGGGGGCTGCGTGCTCCAGACGTGGGGAAGCGCGCGCTCAAAGACGTGCAGCCCACCCTGCTTCTGTTTTTGCGCAAGGTGGCACGAGTGGAGGCCGCGGGCTTCAGGAACACTTAGCACCCCTGCGAGCAGTGTGCTTGCCTTTCGAGCTTAAGAAGTCCTCGAAGTGCGATGAAACACCGCGGCCTGTGCAACGGGGTTGGTGCGTCAATCATCAGCGGAAGTAGGAGCAGCAGTCGGGGCTGTGATGCTGTGAACAGTCAGCCTGAAAAGCAACAGCAGTTCTACAGCAATCATCAGAAATAGTAGCTACCTGCTCCTTGACAAAGTATCATCGCTCACCATCATGAGGATGATAGTGCATAGTGGCCGTGATGATGGTGATTGGGAGTTGCTTTTTGGATGACCAGCTGCTGCTGCTGCAGCCAACACTCCGACAGCGAACACCGAGGTGACAAGATGTAGTTCGTATCTAGAATCCAGAGTTTTCGGACAATCAAACCGATACCGATCGAACGAAGTTTCTTACTGGTATCTGGGACCAATGTAAGCGACGAGCATTGTCCGCAGGCCTTTGACGGAGAAAGTGGCCTGCAGCGAGTCATCACCAAAATACGCCTCCCTTCCGAGGGCCAGGCCAATGCACAGGCGCGCTCTGCTCTTCGGGATGTGGGTGCGCGGAAATGCTGTGCCTGGATGTGCGTCTCTGCTTAGGAGATCAAGCTGCAGGTTGATGAGGTTAACACGTGGTCCCCGGAGGCTGATGTGTTGTGCTGTTGGCGAGACCATTGGCTGGGCAGAGACGTGTGAAGAGCCGCGCAACAGGCATCACCGCAGTCGGAGGAGCAGCGATGGTTGATACAAACCAGAGGTGTGGAGATTCATGGAGATGGTGCGAGCGACTTGTTGCTGACGGAGCTGCACCGCGGCTGCACTGGCCTGCGTGCTCGTGCCATCGTGAAGCTCCGATTGGAAATCGACCTGCAAGTCAGGAAGTTGGCTTTCCGTCTTGATGGAGATGCAGGAGCAAAGCCAGGGTGTTTAAATCCGATAGAGTGAGACGGAGTGGCCTGTTCCGGAGAAAAGCCGCATGCTCTCTATGCGCACAGGCAGCGCAGAGAAAGTCTATGCCTGGCTTCCGTTGCAGTCCTACGGCTTGCGATTCGTCGTCCAGGTCCGATGCAGAGTTCGGGCTGGTAGCAGCAAGCCACTCCTGCTTTATCTGCTTTGTTGTGTTGACCTGCTGGCGTGTGTGATGAGGCAGATTGGAAGGTGCCTTCGTCTAGGGAGGCGATCACGGACAATGTCTTTAATCAGACACTTGGCTTGCGAATAAGTGTTGTGTCTCGTGGACCCTGTGGACAACCACCCAGGCAGATTCGAGAACAGGTGCCAGCAGCATTTGTCGAAGCAGCGGAAGAATTCAGAACCCGAGCCGCAGCTGCAGCACTGATACATGACATCGTGCTGCGAAGCTGCGACGAAGATGCAGGCAAGGGGCGTGGGCCTGGGCTGTTGCTGCAGACTCCCGCTGCATGCTCGGAATGGAGGTGACGCGAGGGGTTTGCCACTTTCGCAGTTGACAGCAGCCCTGGATGCATCGGCGGATGCTCTCCTGCCACTCTACGCCGCTGTGCCCCGGACAGGTCGCCCCCACTTGGTGCGTTTTCTGTCTCCCTTCCTGCAGCTGTGCCCGACCAGGCGATGCTGTCAATTTTTTTCAGGGCACCGATTCCGGCATTCTTCGCGCTCTACAAAATGTGGCAATCATCTTGGTGCGAGTGCCTGGCCGTGGCCCAGGCACTCAAATTCCGGTGGCCTTTGCATGCTATGACTATGACTTCGGCACACCACGCCGACTTGTGTCAGGTCCAGATGGCCCGAACCTGCCTCCCTGCGAAGAAGATGTTGAAGAAGCTGCGACAGAGGAAGTCGAAACAGTCATGATTCAGTCATGATCATCTCGGATTAGGGAAGGCGACGTTGACTGTTGCTTCGTGGCCACTACCACTGTCATCGCTTACTTCAGCCAGTCTTCAGGATGAGCGTCACTTCCACCTTGGCTTTTCTACAGCCAAACATGCCGTACGTGAACGTCTTCCAGAGGGCATCCCAGCACCTTTGCTGCTCCAAAGTTGCGTCTCCCACTCGCCCGAGCTTGGCTCAGTTCGAGGCATCTCTGTCTGAACATCTGCCGACGCTGGAGCCTTTGCTTGCGCAGGACTCCGCGAGTCACATGACACGTCGTAGAAGGAAGGCCGTGTGCCGTGATCTGTCGCAGCCTGAAGTCTGGAGCATTGAAGGCGGGGCACTATCTGGAAGTTGGGAAGCTTCCAGCTCGTGTGGCAGAGGCGCTTGGGGTGCCAGAAGCTTGCCTGCAGTAACAAGCCACTGCTACCGCACTCGCATTGAATACGCCAGTCAGCTTGTGCTTGTGAGGTTTGTTGTCAATTTGCGGGCCAGGTTTGCTGACTGCTGTGCAGCAGAGACAACAGACAGGGTCCAATCTCAGGTTTTGGATGCAGACGTGGCGCTGGACTGCTTGAAGGCACTGAACACTGCATGCTTGATTCCTGCATCTTGGTGTTGTGCCGGTCAGGGCCGTGTTGAGAGTCTCGCCTTCTTCATAGGCTTTTGCAAGCCGTGCAACTGAACGGGATGACGCGGACATGCCCAGCGCTTTGCAGCAATCCGCGAGGGCCTTGAGCTGACATTTCGCACAACTTCGACTGATACTGGGGTCCTCCGACAGAAGCTTAGGACATTGAGACTTTGCACCTTCTCCTGTTGATTGTCGAGGCAATATCTGGTTGTTTCTGTGGCTGAGGCCCGAGGCTATCGGCTCGGTCCATAGTCCGTTCACTCCAGGCGAAGCCTGAGCTCCTCGAGGAGGTGCGGCACCTGGCCGTCGTGCCGACCGAAGCCGGTCTCGTGGCCTTGGCAGAGCAAGAGGCTCGACTACGGCTCGGAGTGTTTCCTCTTTCATGCTTTTGACGCTCCGTGTGTCGCTTCTTGCATTTGGCGGTCATGTGGCGCGCAGGCCAGTGGCAGCAAGGTTTACGACATCCCCGATGATTTGGCTGGTCTGGAAGCAGTCTTGGGACAAGGGCAGAGGCTTGATCCACGCCTGGGGCACATCGCCCAGCCAAAGGCCGGACGTGCAGCTGATGACGAACGACCGGTGACCTCTAACTCCAATGGTGCAACTCGCAGGTCAAGCAGCTCCTTTCAAGGCTTGGTGTCGAGCGCGTCGATGGCTTGGCGTTTTTTGAGAACGTGCTGCTACCAGTCCTGGCACGAGGCATGCCATATTCGTATATCGAACGTCCTGTGAAGCCTTTCTTGTTCTCGGACGCATGCCGATATTTCTCGCCGACTGCCAGCAGGAGAAGCACCAGATGCGGAGCAACTGCTTGCGGTTACACGGAACCTCAACAGCATTTTGTGCTCAAGGGCCACCCTGCTAGTGAGCTAGTGTTCACGGACGTTGATTGGGAGCGTTGCTTTGTCAAGCTGCTTGCTGGGAGCAGGAGATTCAAGCAACTCGTCGCCATCTGCGAAGATGAAGGATTGAAGGACCGATGCATGTGCAGCGGTTTCTGCATCGCAGGCCATGCTGCTGTTCGAGGTGACAGGCTGCCCTAACATGAATTACGCGCGCAGGCAAAGTAGAATCGCAACAACTTAGGTTGTGCGCATCGTGACGCGCTCGCTGAGCCTTTTCATTTGAATGGCCTTCTCTACGATGCAGGGGTTAAGAGCTGGGAGTGGAAGAGTGCAAGTCGCCAGCGCCTCCCGTGAGGAGATGATGGCGGATCGTGTCAGGGAGACCGGATGGTGGGTGGCTGGGCTATGCAAACGTTTACGTGAGACCATGCAAAAACACGGCCCCCACTATCTCGCGCAGACTCAGACTAGGCTTTCTGGTAGAGAAGTACTCTGCATGACCAAGGCCATGGTCTCGTCGACTTCAGAGTCACAGATGGTGAAGGCGCCTCGACCTGGCTTTGCCATCGTCTCCAAAAGATGAGAACTGTGCAGAAACCCTGCTCCCGGGGTCCTGGAGGTTGGCGGAGAGTCCGGAAAAGGACTTCACTTGACATGCCTTTCTGAGTCCTTGGCATCGGCGTTACGATTGGCCGATGGAGAGTCTTGGAAGGCCTCAACACGCTGCAGCTTGTTCGCAACCCAGGGGCGAGCTGACCCAGGCCAGCGAGATGGAGTGGCTGACTCCGTCGCAGCAGTACTTTGAGTCGGGGGAGGCGGCAAACAGCGAAGCTTGGTAAACAAGCGCATCGCATCAAAGTGCGCCGACCCCCAGGTAAAGATTTGACCCAGAACGAAGCCTTCTGACAGCCTTCTAGGGTCGAAAAGTGCCGCTGGTTGTGGACTGTCTCCCAGATCTTGACCGGCAAGGAAGAAAGACAGAAGTGGGAGGACTTCTGGACTTTTCTCGGAGCCGCCCCTGCCTTCCACGTGGAGATCGAGAAAGATGTTGCGAGTGCAGAACTGGAGAGGTGTCTCTGCTGGGGTGACTTCGGGGCTCATGGGCTTGGAGGCTGCTGAATGCGGGTGTGTTGAGGGGTGATGGGTAAAGGCTGTAGACTTAAGATGGTATCACATTTGAGGATCAGTCGCAGAAGCTTCATGTGCTGAAAGTCAGTTGTCATGGCTGTATGGCGAGGCTTCTTCAGATTGCCGGCAAGGATGCGAAGCTGGCAGAGGAAGTCGTGATGCTCCTCGCGCCGCATGGCGAGTTCTACAAAGACTTTCTGTGGATTCCAGGCTCGCCAGAGTGGCCCCCACCCCAAGCAGCACGTCTGAGCTTCTGGCCTAAAGCCAGGATCCCAGGGAGCGGAGGGAGACAGGCGGCCATCTTCTCTGGGGCGCATGCTCTGCACCTCTCCGTGGTGACTTGAATGCAGCAGCAGCTTCAGTTGCTTAGGCGTTTCTTGATCATCGTAAGGTTGCCAACGCATAACGGAGCTTCGATGCCGCTACACATGGCCTGGCTGTGCGATTCACCAAATCCAGCCGAGAAGCGCTTTGCTTTTCTGCCTTGCGTCTCTGCACTGGCGGAGGCCGCCGGAGGACCACCCATTAAGACATTAGGACGTGATTTTCTTGCCATGGTCAACAGTTGGGCAGGCATGGTCGAGCTTGGGCATTGAGCAGAGCCCATCCGCTGAGACCATCATCAGCATCTTGCGCAGCCTGCGTGCCCGCAAGGCTTCTGCACCCTGGTCCTCACAGACGCTGTACCTCACCCTCAGCTTACTCTGCCGACAGGGAGATGAACTCAGAACTTCTGAAATGATGACTATCTATGACAAGATACAGGCTCGTCTGGCTAAGAGTCAGAAAATGCGGCTTCGATCTCTTTTCAGAGCTGCGCATGTCGCAGGACAAGCCCACAAAACGTCCAGCTCTTTCTGTTTCGGCTTTCATTGGTCAGGACGCCGATCTCGCCAGGAGCCCACTCACTACTGTAGCTGCTAGTACGGGACGGATTCGACGCGAGCTGCAAGCCAAGGACGCCTTCCTCAATGAAGAACCATGGGTGTTTATTCCCAACCATCCGAAGCCGCTATGCCGCAAGCGCAGCAGCCGGAAGGGATGGGCTGGCTGGGACAGCTGAGTCGCACAACAGCCAAGGCCCCATGGAGGCTTCCAGAGTTGGCATGACCGAAGAGCTCAAAGGCCACACCCGGGAGATTTCTACAGAGTGAACCAGCCGCATGGCAGCGATGAGCGATGGAAGCTGAGGTCTTGCAAGGGGTACAGTCTGGTACAGACGTAGATGAAGATAAATCGCAATCGTCAGGGCATCTGCGCGAGGTTGGTGCTTCAGGACCCAGCAGAATGCCTGGATGGCTTCCTTGCTTGCACTGCGCCCGTTCATGTTTTGAGGATGAGCTGCTGGCAGTACAGCAGCACTGCAGCTCTTGCACCGGCGTGACAGCCAAGCCAGATGTACAGGATATGTTTTCTCCAGTTAGCATCCAAGGTTTCAGCAAGAATGCAGAAGATGCTGCAATCGACCTGATGCGTGAGCTGCCTGGACGAGAACATTGCGACGACTAAGCTTATGTTCAGTCCCCAACTTCTTTTTCTGATTGGCTACTTTGTAATCCAAAGGCAAAGATCGGAAAGATTAGGAGTGATTAGGCTCCTGCACGAAAGGGTCTTTGCAAACCGGCACGTCCCACCACCGTCTTGAGGCGCTTGGACAAGCGGGTAGTGGCGAATTACTATTTTGGTAAACAGACCCTTTTTCCGACTACCTGGCCGAGCGCCTTGACAAATTTCGTTTCCTTCGACGTTTCGGTTGAACGGTGTCGAACACTTATAGGATGGTCATCTGGTGAGGCAGCAGAATTCCAACGAATCGGTTCCTTGACTTTCTGGGAACTCGCGGCGTGCAGGAAAGGAGCACTTACAAGCACGAGAGGGTAGATACACTTTTACAGAGACCCAGCCGTCAACCAAACTGCTTTACTGCAGGACCAGCTACGCATTGAAGATTATCTCGCGGTCCTGGAAGCTGTGGACGGGCAGATTCTTGGCATTTCTTGGCTACATTGTATGGTTTTGCTCTTGTAAAAGAGTTTGCGCATGCTCCTGATGGGACGTTCAGATGCTTTCTTCCTAGGCGTCAGTAGTAGACACTCGAGCATAGACTTTAGACGAATCCAATGCCACGGCAACAGAACATGCAAGCGAGCAGTGAACAACAATTTTGGTGAAGCTCCTTCGATCAAGTCTTGCAGCTCTGAAGAAAACGGATGCTATCAACTACATTGGCATTTGTTCAACTTGCGGCTCGTGGAATCCTTCAAGACTTGCTGCCACTAGAAGTGCCGAGGATTTCTTTGATCATGTCCAAGACAGCGGAGCCCAAGATCAGCTTGGAAAGCATCCCCGGCCTTATGAGGCAGCTGCTCGGCTTCAGCACCCGGCAAAGCAGCACCCAGCCGAGCCGCGAGACGGGCCTCAAGGATTGAGTCAGAGCCTTGCTGGCCAGCCGAGGATTTTGGGCAGGGTTCACCGTTTGGTGGAGTTTGAGATGCAGGAATCTCGGGACCGACAGGAGGAGGACGAGGAGGAGCAGGACCTCCATTTGCAAATCACTTCACCCGGCGGCGCAGCGTAGCTTTATCCGCGAGGAGGGCGAGTCCCCGAAACCGCCTAGCACTATCACGTCCAATATTTTGGCCCAGGCCTCAGAGACAGTTTGAGCGGCTTAGCTTCGAAGTTGTGTCTGTCGAGGCAAAATTTCGCCAAGAGGCATCGGACCTCCGCTTTCTCATGGCTGCAGATGGGCATCGTGGTGAGCATTGATCTAGCGGGTGCCATCGGATGAGTTACAAGCCGCCCTGGTGACAGATCGAGGGCCTCGAGCCTTGCGATCCAGATCAGGAAACCGTAACGATTGCCGGTTCGAACACAGCAAGATGCTTCACATCAGGTCTTGGCAGCCGATGAAGCACTTTGTGTATGTTGCTGACGAGAGGAAGACAGCGGAATTCTCAGGCACCGTTGTCGCACCTGACATTTTGGACTTGTCCTGTCACAGCATGTGTTCCAGAATTGCGCTCTCACCAGTATTGCTCCAAGACATACAGCTCCAGCCCAGCAGTGCCACGATTTATTTGTTTTTTGAGGCTGGTCGGACGGGACACTTCAGTATGTGGCGATTGTCCCCGGAAGAGGGAGTGACAGCGCACGACGCATCATCACACTGCTGAAGCGATGTGGAATCCGTACCCTGGCTGTGGCCGTTCAGCGACGCCAGGGCGGCCGACCTGTTCTGCTGAGGCCCCTCAGAAGAAAAGGAAGAGACGCTGAGAAGGTGTGCAACAATCGTTCCCTGTGAGGCGGCCTTGGATGCTGTTGGCATTGCACGGACTGTCCAGCTGTTGCAGACAGACTTGGGTCTGCAGGAAGTGTTGCAAGAACAGCGAAGAACACTGGCAAGTCAGATCCTCTCAAAAGCTATTCACACCGCCGAGTCGGCCATAAAGGTCAAGGCAGGGCCCCAACGCGAGGGTAAGCCTCATTTGCGCGGCAAGTTTCGTCGCAGGAGAATGTCACAGACGCCACTGGAATCTTCGACCGCATTCGAGACCTGGTTGGCAGGTGCCCAGCCACGAAAATCACAGCGGGTGTTGCACTGCACAATGCGTCTGTGGAGTCTTTAGAGGGAGGCAGCGATGAACTCCCTCAACTAGACGTCCGCTGCGTCTGTTGAACCAGGTTGCGAGTCGAGCCGGCGAGTGAGATGTCAGTTTACCAGGCAGCGATGCTCACTTCTTGATCTTGAAAGCTTATAGCAGAATTGCTAGTGGATCTATGTGCCCCAGATCCACAATTGAATGTGCAAGCCGCTACGACAGCCGTGCAAGTGATGGGGCTGCGCAGTGCATGTACTTCAGGCGATTGCGCTCGACATTCGCGAGATCCGGACGCGTGGCAGGAAGGCGCCTAGCGCAGGCGAACTGTCAACACAGCTGCAGGGCGGCCTCTAATTGAGCGGGTTCGATCAGCGCGGAAGCGCATGCCATGCGCCAAGGTTTGCAGAGTTCAAGCCGCAAACGGGTGCAGCCTTTCCGATCGCCAGGAGCATTGTTGGCCTTGATTCGCTCATGATCGCAATCGAGCACACAGTATGTGCATCATCCATATTTTTGCCGGCACTCCCCCTCACCAGCTCTTGGAATTGTTGTCAATGTCAATTGCCATCCGCTCCTGAATCTCACTCATGCAGAAGCACATTGCGGAAGGAATGGTGTTTTCGAATCGCCGCGAGAAAACTCGCAGAAGTTTGGGGGGCTTTCAGCAATCATGTACTTTCTGCGGGGATGGTGCAATCAAAATTTGATTCCGTTCTAAACCCCCGCCTCTTGTAGCAAGAGTAGGGCCGGCATTAGGGTTTTGCATGGTGGTTAAAAACCCGTGCGCGCGCAAGCTCGCGCAAGGGCGGGCGCAAGATACATAACATACTAACTGAGTCGGAATGCATGGTAATTTACCGTTTGTCGAAAAGTTATGTTGACATGAGTGAAAACCCGTGCGCGCGCAAGACGGCGCAAGGGCGGGCGCAAGCTCTGTCCAAATGCTGGGGCATGGCTCCTTTAATTTAGAACAACATCCAAATAGGGCTTTAATTTCTGGTGGAAGCTGGTCCACGAGCTCGTTTGCACGTTTTGTCCCCATGGGCTGAACCTACGCAGGCTGTCGCGTCCCCAGAGCAGACTTGCTTCGCTGTATAGTTTACGGAAGAGCGTGCGTGATCAGGGCCGAGACCGCACGACATGCATTACGGCGCGCAGCACGATTTCTCCATCGAACGAGCGGGCGTGGACTCGTCGACATCAACGGCCGGAAAGGCGAATTGCGTGGACGTTCAATTCATGGGCCTGTCTTGGACAGAGCAGGTCAAATTCCTGCCAAATTGCGTCACCCGCCAGCGGCAGCAGTAGCAGTAGCAGTTCTACCGACAGCGCGTCCGACAACAGCTGCTGAAAGGTCTGCGCGCTAGTACCCTTCTCAGGAATTCACGCATGCATTCCCAAACTCCTGCATTTGCTGCTACGTATCTGTAAGCCTGGTTTTTGTGCCACATGAAGCGGAACGCATCTACAGCCGCATTGATGCCGGTTCCGGAAACCATATGCGATGGTCCAGATTAGGCAATGATTCATGCTTGGCCCAGGCGCCGTTTGCATGACACCACAACCTTACGAGAATCTTTTGTCGGCACACTTGAGCGACTGAATGACTGACGACGATGATGGTGATGAGTCGATCTCGACCGTCTCTGGTATCCGGAATGTGACACGCAGCACAGAGGACCAAGCAGCTCGGGAATACACCGCTTGCATTCACCGGCGAAGCTCCTGCAGGCAGTGAAGATGAGGACGTCCGTAGGGAGGATAGATCGCGAGAGGCAGTGAGAGACTCGACCGGAAGGAGAAGCAGATCGTGTTCACCTTTCAGGGTGGTGTCGTGAAAGCGCTTCAGCAAGGATTGCAAAGCCTCTCCCGAGCCATGGCCTCGGGAACCGAAGTCTAAGCCTCAGCCAGTGCAAGAAGGGCCTAAAGCTATCGTTTCCGTGCAAAAAGGCTTTGGTTCTGGTCGCCGCGCAGGGCTCACGTGGAGATCTGCACAAAGGCGGTGGGCACAAAGGCCAGCCCTTTGGAGTCCTCTAGTGTGATTGATCAAGGAACTGCAGGTATGGGTGGGGAGGGTTAGCTCTTTGCTCCAAGGCAGGCGTGGCCTCTCTGAGCTTGAGAATGGCATCGCCAACTTGCTGGCGATGGCCATCGGGGCGGCAGCTGAGGCTGCGGAACAAGGCTTCTCAGATAAATTTGCCTCATTGTTTCATAAGGAACGGCAGGTGTCAAGTGTGTTTTCAGTTTGGCGAGCTGCTAAGCCAAGGTCAAGACGAGCCCTCCGAAAGCTTCTCAAAGCCGGTGTCCGAGAGCATGGAAGCAGAAGGCCTCAGCAACCCCGAGGACTCGTGGTTGCTATTCCAGAAAAAGCGTTTCCAACTTGCATCGCAAATTTGACAACCCGCCGCCAGGACACTGCATCAACGGGACGATTGCTTACGAAGCGCCTTAGCTGAATTTCAGTAGATGTGTGTGCCAGTCTGGCATTCGCGGCTATGCCAGGCTCTTGGAGCAGTTCAAGGATGTGGAGAATGCCGACATGTGGGAGTCTTCAAGCACTTGCGTGTAAGTGGTGCATCTCCTTGCATGAGTCATAATCAGTCAGAGCAATGCTTCGCTCTTGAATTGGCCATCCAGGTGGGAGGCGCTGGCACAAGCATCTGATGAAGCAGATCAGGAAGGAAGCGGAGTTGAGATGGACTTGTCCACGGCTGACTTGCTGGAGAATGCGTACGAAGCGCACCTGTCCTGCAATCAAGCTTCAGTTGCGGCGGGCGCTTGCTTGCCTGCGCATTGGCCAAGACCCAGCATGCTCAGAAAAGCTCAGGCTCCATTTCAGGCAGATGAGACGTGCGAAGAAGACGCGAGCGGCTTACTGCCTCGATGGCCGTGAGATTTGCCAGCATCTCGCATGTAACGCGAGGCAGGGTGGCTCCTCGTCATCACAGGAAGTTCCCGGTAAGTCTGCGCGAAGAAATCAGGAGTCTGTGGCATTCTCTTGCTGCTCGCAAGTAGGAATCAACCGAATGCACCGCGTCCAGGAATTGGGCGAGTTGCCCCCGAGCTTGGACGAGCTGTTGCCTCCGATGTTGCCTTATGATACGCAGAGCAGCGGCAGCAACACCAACATCCCTTTCGATGCAGCAGCTGGCGAAGGCTCAAAACGAAGACGCAATGCAATGAGGCTGTGCTTTGAAAGCTGCTCGGGCAGGCCGCTCAGAGCAACGAGATCGGCCCCAGGAATTTCATGAAGTTCCGTGTTCGGTGCTTGAGGGATCTGCGGAGTTGCTGCAGGATGCAAACGATGGGCGCAAACGGGAAGTCTCGGCGGAGGCCAACCCAAGTCACTTGGCTCAGAGCTGTTGTAACTGCAGCTGTCGGAGGTGGGGCCGGCAAAACAAGTCGACAGGCTTCGAGACGGCGAGGAAGTTTCACCATGGGGGTTTGAAATCACAATGCCCTACCTCGCGACAAGCTATGCTGATAGACTGCGTCGATATGCATCCGCCAAAGTCTTACAAATGGAAGACAGGACCGCCCCAGCAGGAGAGAAAGAGGACTGAGCTACCCACGAGGCTATTCGCTGAAGAGGCATTTCGACCGATGCCAAAGCATGAGTTTGGAAGTCCCACAGCACGTCGCCTGAAAGGATTGGCCTGTAAATGTTCAGTGCACGACTTGCTGCATGTTTGCCTTCAGAATCGCTCTGGACTTGGACGCGCCGCCTCTCGAGACCGGCACTTTTGGAGACACCGACGTTCTTCCAGAAGACCTGCAAGAAGTGCTTGCCAAAGCTCCGACGCCTTCGTCCGACTCTGGTGCCGGCAGCTTGCGTGCAGGTTGAGACGAGCCCTGGCTAGAGGTTGAGTTGATGCACTGGCGCCGGCTCAGGTATCTCGCAGGGGCTGGAGTGGGTGGGGAAGGTCGGGGAGCAATTGGCGGCCCGCTCTTTGGAGCAGCAGGGCTTCGAGGCCAGGAATTCTTCCGCCAAACTACGGTTACGGGCTGTTACGGCTGCGAGGTTTGCTGGGTCAATGAGAATGGTGAGCTCGGGCTCCCCTTCGACCTCATCCTAAGCGGCATGGAAGCAAGTTTGCGGCCGCCTTTCGCCACGAGCAGCAGATTGTTTCGAAGCCCAGGTCAGGGGGGAAGCCTTCCTGCGCTCCGCAGCGATCTTCCATCGGTGCAGGGCGAATTGGCGGCTGAACTTCTGGATGCGGCACTGCATGGAAAAGGACGACGGATCAGGGCCAGTTGGGGTTGGGAAACTCCGATTTGTTCTCACTCACAGGCACGCGGCACATGAGAGTGTGCTGTCCAGCAAAGGAGATCCGGACGTGTGTTTCGTGGAGGTGAAATCGACCACATCAGGCCCTTGGCTTTGCCAGCGGCAGGACTAGAGCACAGTCTCGAAGATGCGAGGTGACCGAGAAGTCTTCGAGATCTCCCGTGCAGAGGTCACTGCATTGTCTACCCTAGGACACGGGATTCCAAAATCTGAGTCCTTACATCCGACCTTTCGAGATGGCGGATATCTTCGAGAAGGCCCCAGGCAAGATGTTGCCAACCCATCCGTTGGGAACTATGCACCACACAGTTCTTCTATTTGGGGCTTAGCGAAGGCCCAAGATTCGCGAAGACTGGCACATCTACCTATGAAAAAAGACTACAGTGAATAATGCAGCACAACACGTTCGAAGAGCGATTAAAACCGCTTGGGTTGGCCTCCGTACCATAGTCAGTTAGAATTTGGAATGTTCTTCTTCACTTATGCATTCTGCACACTCTAGAAATTCCTTCAAGCTTCAAGAGCATGGTCGCCGCAATCCGAAACCAAAACTTCGAACTTGTTCAAACACCAACCTGCTACCGCAAACCTGAATTCCCGAGTGCAGACTTTGATCTCACGCTTTTTTACTGTAGCACGCTGCAGGGCATGCGATAATTGCAACAGAAGGCGCAAGACAAGCGTGAGCAATGCTTGCCAGATCTTGCCAGGACCGCGCTACTGGCTCGCCCGCGTGTTCGGCGTGCCGGACGCGAATCCGCAGTCTCAGATGGCTGCACAGAATACGAAGGCACCACGGCGGCACCAGTGTAGCAGAGCCACAGGCAGCCAATTGCAGCAGAATGTTGCAGCGCTGTACCCCTGCAATTTTGCGCAGGGGGTTAGGAGCTGCGACATGTGGTTCTAGGATTCGGAGACCCGTGAACGTACAGGGGTCAGCATTGGCAACGCACTACTTGAACTGTAGTGCTGTTCGAAATGTGCACTGCTGCCAGGCTAAGAGAAGAGCCAAACACCCCACAAACGGATCAGTTTAGTTTTTGTTTCCGGGTTGCCCCTTTGCCTGCACATATCAGTCTGCATAATGATGTCCAAGCAATTTCACAAACATGCGAGGAATTGAGCGAGTGAAACGAGCAGAGGCACTCACGCGAAAGATTGTAGGGTGGAGGGAGGGCATCAGATTGTTCATTGACAGGCAGCCTAACGGCTCAGGCTGCCCAGGGTCATTCTGATTTTTCCTCCCGAGCGCGAGCAGCCAATCATGGCATTGCCGTCGGCGGCCACGGCAAGAGCGTGGACTAACCTCAGAGAGGTGCTGACGGCTTTGCGAATTGATCCGGCGCTTTGGTCTTCTCTCACGAATGTGATGGGGGACCCGGGAGATGAGATCCGACACGTGGCAGCTTTGAACCAGTGGGCTGTCACCCAAGCCATAGGAGCTACACAGACTTCTGCAGGCTAGGGAGTTACCGTTGTTCAGGCTGCTCAGTTGGGATTGGTATGGCGCTCGTGCAGAAAATGTATTTACCTCAAGGACGGAGGTGCAGAGGACGGCTTTGTAGACATTGACCCGTGGGAGCAGAGGCCGGCGATAGCAGCAAGGCCCAGCTCTTCTGTGCCGAGTGTGAAGGAAAGTGTGTTGAAGATGTCAAGCCTGCTAGATCAAACCGATGACTCGGAACTACTGCCTCCGAAACCAGAGATGGTACAACAGTGGATGCAAAGATACATTTTGACCATGGGTGCACCGCCAGAAGAAGAAGAAGAACCTACCGAGTCTCAGCTAGCTGCTCTGCACAAACGAGTGGAAACTTTGGATCAAGCTCCTTATGTAGATTTCGGCGTTTGGCTACCATTCGGCAGGAGAGCTCTTAAAGCACAGAAATTTCGAGTACATCACCCATTGGGCGACGGAAGCTACATGCTGAAGGAGATGCCGGGGCCGCAGAATTACCAACAATGGCTAGCTTCTTGGAGAGTTTTCAAGGTTGCCGCGTTGATGCTGAACGTGGTGTCCTTGGAAAACCTGCTGAGCTATGAGAAGCTTGTCGAAAGGTTAGTGGTTCAGTGGCCCAACTCGTGGGGCTTGCTCTGTCAGGCGGAGGACAAGGCCAGGGCCGAGAGATTAGAAAAGATACGGAGGCGAATCCTGGCACAGGACATGGCGGGCAAGGACACGCCTGATGATTGGAGCCGAGCCAGCCCGTGGACGTGCTGCTTTCGTGAACTAGTAGCCGACGAAAAGTTCTGGTCGGAGCAAGTGAGGCACCCGGCTGTTGCATGGACGGCGGCTGGAGGACGCGGAGTGCCCATGGCAACGGCGGAGATGATCGCTGGAACACACATTCCAGGACTTGCCGACGGAGCTGATTCCCTTAGGCCGCCCGAAATCGGTGAAAGACGCAAGCAGATCAATAGAGACAGGCGAGCGGCCAAGAAGAAGCGGATCCAAGATGAACGCGAGGAGCTTGCTCGTCTTCGTGCTGGCTCTTCTCGCAAGGCCTTGCCGCACGACCAGAAGGGCGACTCCAAAGGCTCCGGGAAGGGCAAATCGAAGGACCAGGCGGGTTCGGCTTTGTGCTATAGCTGGGGCTCCGGAAAGGGGCCGTGGGCTGAAGTGCCAGTGGGAGGTGAGTGCAAGTGCCCTGTGAAGAGAGCCCACAAGTGCCAGTTTTGCCTGTCACCTACACATAGGAACGCAGACTGCCCAAATCGTTGAGTCACGGCAAAAGACGGGTGGCGCTTGTTGCATTTGTTCGCTGCACCTGCTGTGGAGCCTTGGGGGCTAAGGACCCACCGCGGCGGGGATTCGGCAGCGCAACATGTTAGCAAGTGCCGTTGCAGCTTCCGCTGGAGGCTGTGTCATCTTGCGTTTGTGTTGCCGGTGATTGCTTAGGGCTCGAAGAATGTCGGTCGCCCCGGCAAGTGCCGATGCAGACCCGAGCGAGGATACCAAAGCGGCGGATGATCCACCTGTCGCCGGACGTGTTCGGGATGCGCTGAGGGGTGCCAATAACTTTGGGGAATTTAGATCAAGGAGACGCTTTGTGTTCGTGCACTTGTTTTCGGGCGAGAGGGACATCCTCGGGGAGACCGTGAAGGCGGCCGCCAAAGCCGAGGGTTTGAATGTGGACGTGAGGTCCGTAGACATCAAGGGCGCAGAGCGATGCGACCTCCGCAAGGCGGAGCCGTTTGGGGAGCTGATGCAAGCGGCGACGGACGGCGACATTGATGCCGGACATGCGGGCCCTCCGTGCGGGACTTTCAGCCGGGTGAGATGGAACGAGAAGGGCACGGGGCCACCGCCCGTGAGAGGCAGGTTGCAAATCTACGGTTTGGACAGCAACAACGTTGCCCAACAAAGGGAAGCTGATCTGGGTACCATTTTGGCCGCCCGGAGCTGCCAATGGCTTAAGGAAGTGCTGGACTCGCAGAAGCGAAGGAAAGTGCCGGAAGCCGGCACCCTCGAAAACCCGCCTGGCTCTCAGGATGGACCGGACGGCTCCATGTGGCTATTGCCCGAGGTCATGGCCTTCGAGAAGGAGGTCAACGCCATCAGGGTTTCCTTCAACACTTGCGCTTACCAGATGGGCCTCAGGAATCGATGGTGGAAGCCGAGCACATGGGCAGGAAGGCTGGAGGACATCGAGACGCTGTCGGCCAGCTGTACTTGCCCGCCGGGCTTCAGACACGAGAAGCTGGTGGGGCGAGTCCGCACCAGTGAATCGGCCGAGTATCCCAAGGACCTGTGCATCAAGTATGCCGCTTTACTTGTCAAGGCGTTTAAGAAGACGCTTCAGTTGGAATGGTGGCGAAGCGAGTTGCGCTGCAAGAAGGAGATGGTCTCACAACTTCAGGTTAAGTGGTTGGAGTCAAAGGAGAAGCAGCTGTCGCATCAGCAAACGGCTGCCTCGCAAACCGGAGGATCGAAGAGAGTCTGGTCGGCCAGAGCGGCCACAGTCGACATCGACCCGGATAAGCGGGTATCCAAGAAGGCCAGAAGGGAGCTTGAGAACGTTCAAGCCGTTGGCGGCATGAGGAACCCACATGCTAGCGTGTCCAGGCTGGGGAAGGTGGCCGAAGTGGGCCGAGACATCGCGAGACTGTGGAGGAGGTTTGCGCAAGAACACCCGGAGGCCTTGGAGGTGGCGAAAGCATACGGTTCCAAAGACTGTCAACCAGACTTAAAGATTGCGGAGGCCTGGAAGGACGAACTGAAGCTGCTTCTCAAGGTGAAGGAGGAACCCGGACTCAACCTCAAGGAGAACATCGAGTTCACGTCCCCATTGGACCCGGCGATGTGGCGGGCGTGGCAGAGAGCTTCGGCTGACCCGGAAAAACACATCGCGGAATGGGCTAATGAAGGAGCCCCGCTAGGTATGGGAAGGGAGATCCCATCTAGCGGGGGGGTGTTCCCAGAGGTCGAGACGGCGTCTAACGAGACGCCGGAGATGCCGACGCTAGAGTGGCAGGCAAAAATCAAGAACTACACCAGCATGTTCGAGGACCCCGAGGGTGCCAGTGCGGAACTAGGAAGATACTTGGATAAGGGCTTCTGCAAGAGGATGAGCAAGAAGCAGGCGGCCAGACGTTTCGATCGGGGCACCATCTCGAAGCTGGCTTTGATCACCAAGCAGAAGGGCGAGAACGTGGTGAAGAGGAGAATAATAATTGACTTGCTTAGAAGCGGCGGGAACAAGCGAGCGCGGGTTCCTGAGCGCATCATTCTCCCTCGTGGCTCGGATGTGATCGCCATGATGAAGAAGTTGTGGCAGCTGAAGGGAGAAAGGGCCACGGCGGTCGACCCGCTGGACAACATCGGCGAGGAACCGGATGGCTCAGAGGACCCGGGCATCGAGATCGTGGGGGCCGACTTGTCGGACGCTTACTGTCACTTCCCGGTTGCGCGCGAAGAGCTGAGCAACTGTTTGGCACCCGGGTTGGAGGAGGAAGATATAATTATCTTCTGTGCCATGTTGTTCGGGTTCAAGGCGGCGCCGCTGATCATGGGCAGATTGTCTGCCGCTTTGGCGAGATTGTGGCAGTCGATGATCATGAGAGACGGGGCGCTTCAGCTGTACATGGACGACCCACTATTCGCGATACTGGGCCCACTTAGCAGGCGCAGGGGCATCATCGCAATGCTCCTGTACACGGCCATGGCCATGGGCATCAATTTGGCATTCCACAAAGGGGAACGCGGCCTCAGGGTCACATGGAGCTGAACGTGAGTGAGGCCACCTTCACCTTGTCCATTCCGAAGAAGGTGGCAGCAGAGATTCTGGAGAAGATTCAGGAATGGAAGGGCAAAGGCATGATTTCGTTGAGAGAGCTTAGGGCTACCACGGGCAGATTGTCCTGGGTGGCGGGCATAGTTCCGCGATTACGCTGGGCGGTTTCCATCCTGTATGCTGTGGTGGCCGACGTGGAGGCTGCCGAGGCCAAGGGCACGGAAGCAGATAGAGCTAGTCGTAGAACTGACAATAGGCCCAAGCTCGGACTCGTGCCCGTGAAGCGGTTCGAGCTCGCAAGATCGTGGCTTGAGTCGATGTTTCAGTCGGCGTCCCAATGGCTCTCCCGGAATGAAGATCTGGAGGAGGACCCTCCGGAGTTCATGATCGTTACCGACGCCAGTCCCGAGGGACTGGGAGCAGTGCTCGCTCACATCGAGCCCGGCACACAATCCGTGGAACCCATGGCTGCCTTGCAAGTGAAGGTCACCGAAAAAGATGCAAAGGAGCTAGGCTTGCAGTGGGGACAATCGAGTTCTCAAGGACCCTTGGAGGCTACCGCGGTGGCGATTGCCATCAACGTGTGGGCCGACAAACTTCGAGGAGGATCTCTTCTCTTAAAATCGGACTCGGTTGTCGCACTAGCAACGGCTCGCAAGCTCTCTTCGGGGTCCCCGATTCTGAACTGCATCGGCGCTTACTTGGCCTTCTTCTGCGAGATGACCAACATATCGAAGATCGTGGGTCACCATGTGGCAGGGGTCTTGAACGCGGAAGCCGATTGGCTTTCTCGCCCAACAAAGCAATCAGATGAGCCCTTGCCGGTCAAGTTGAAGGGGGTCAAAATTCGGAAGCGCGAGGCAGTCAACTTCTCGGACATCTCACCTTTTCCTTTGCCAGGAACCCACCCCGAAATGTGGGGCGGATCATCGGACCAGCTGCATCAGGTCTTCGAGTGTCTTTGAAAAGAAAGGTGAGATGACCGCAGCCCGCGCAGGGCAGTGGAGATTCATCTTGCATATGCATGGTAAGCCTCATGTCGTGTTAGAGTGTGCTCAGGTCTGTTCGGGCTCAGGCTTCAGTCACAGGGCATGTTCGCCTCCGCAGATCAACATGGAGCTCGTAGTGTGGCAAAGCGCAACCCCCGCCACAAGCGCATGGGGCCTCATCCAGCGAGCACCTTGCTGCGTGTTGTGGCCATGTCTAACACTGTTAGCTTTGATCTTGCGCGCGGCAGGCCAGTGTGCGGGCAGATGGGCGCGCCTAGGAGGACATCGGGATCCGCCGCTATGCCCATGCAGATTTCGGCGGCATCGCTTGGAGCAAACGTTCTCCTCAACGGCTTCGGGATTGTCGGCAACTCTGCCCATCCCCCAGCTGGAGAGGAGCTTGAAACCGTGGAGATCGGAAGCATGCTTCGAGTCAACACCGTCGCCGAAGCTTGCTGGGACAAAGAAGAGAAGGTCTCCACGCCCATCCACAACGGAGACATCGCTTCCTTCATCAGGCATCCGGGGCAGGCTTTCGGAAACGCCAAGGCGGCGTTCGAGCAGCTCTGGCATGACTCTGGCTCCCGCAAGCGGCAGCAGCAGACTACAGGCAGCGGATGCGGGGCCCGTCCACGAGAATATCAATCGACTTCGCATGGACCCCATCGTGCAGAGGATGATCGAAAGAGCAAGACCAGTGGTTTGGGAAATGGATATGAACAAAAAGCTGTGGACGGAAGGTCTTCGGCGAGACGGCGCTTGAGAAACCTCGTGAGCTTGCAACAAAAGGTCACGAAGACTCTAGGTGCAGGGAGATTCAGCTGCTCCTCGACATTGTCATGGAAATCCAAAGACCTGACCGGATTCCTTCGACGAGGCGATGCTCTTGAGAGGAAGGAGATGCGGCCGCAGAGTGCCTTCGCGGAGGACTTCCAGACGGAGTTGTGTTTGGAAGAACAAGACGATCGACCAGTCCCGGATCGAGCTACTTACGAGTCAGCTTTGAGAGTCGCGAGGAGTCGAGTGCATCTAAAAGCTGCTGTGGAGTCTTTGAAAAAGGACTTCTGGGCGGACTCCACCAAGGAAGCTCGAGACTCCAAACGCAAGTTCGTGGTGGAATTGGCGAGAACGATTGGGGGTGAATGGTGGGCCCCCCCGCTAAGCTCAGACATGATCATCAACGTGGCAGCGGCGATCAAAGAGGCCAAGCTCAAATCGGGACCCGGGCTCATCAATGATCTCCGATTATGGCACGTGGAGCAAGGGTTTGATGTACCTGAATGGATGTCGCGAATGTTCAAGCTGATCAAGAAGTCATTGACCAGGAACATGGGACCGCCAAAGAGAGCCGTAGAGGTAAAGATATCCGAACGATCAGAAGGCCTTTGGACCAAACCTCAACCACATCTCAGGGTTACCAATGCTGCCTTGGGATTCGCGTCGTCAACCATCTGGATGCTTCGATGTGCTGAGACAGTCAGCGTGAAGAAGTGCCACGTGACAGTAAACAGGTCGGAGAGAACGATTACACTCTTCATCCCGAGGTCAAAGATGGATCAGAGAGCCTGGGGCGTCAGACGAACCCTAAGATGCTGCGGGAAACGCAAATGTACATGGAGCTGCGCTTGGAAAGTCTGGTCAGAGCTGGATGCGCGATCGTCGTGCTTTGGCCCGGAGGACTTCGTCTTCCAAAAATGGAATGGTGCGAAAAAGGCCAAGCCGTCGGAGTTGGTCGCGTGCTGGAAAGACATTTTCGGAAGCTCAGTGTCGGGCCACTCAGGCCTCAGGCAGACGAAGCGGAGCCATGATGTACGTGCGAACGGGCATGCCTTTGCAGGACCTTGCGTTTCTAGGCCGGTGGAAGTCGGACATCGTTCTGCAGTACGCGGAAGAGGCGTTGGAGGAGATGCCGATTAACGCAAGAACATCCAGCAAGTGCCTGGAGCAAATCTCCGCAGCACCGGGAACGCCAGGTAGCCGCACGACGATCCCAACCACACCGCGGCCTTGCCCGTCGACTCCTGGAACTCCCGGCGGCAATCGTCCGAGGCGTCGAGAAGTTTGGCAGTTTGACGAGCCCCCCGTGGAGCACGAGATGTTCGAGAATGTGAACCCACTGGTGTCGAAACCGAAGACTGACACGCTGTGGGTTTACTCAACCAGAGCTGCGAGAGAAAATCGTGTTCTACATTCCGTAGCGTGCGCGGATTGGGACAAGCCTTTCTCGAGCTGGAAAACTACATGCGGATGGCCTTTCGCTGATGGCTCTGGCGAGGCGGCCTTTGCGAGCATGCCAAACATAGCCTGGAGAAAATGTCACAAGTGCAAGATGATCAGAGCAAAGCGCGACGTTGTCAATGAGGACAGTGTGATGTGCTTGAAGGCCTCGAAGGCTTTCGAAATCGTCACCTGCAAGCTAACGAAAGAGATTCGACAACCATCCTGAGAAAAGTGACCGCTTGCTCTTTGCCTGCTGAGAAGGGCGGAGGGTGGGATCTGAATCTCTGGAGCGTGTGCCTTGAGCGAGTGAAACGAGCAGAGGCACTCACGCGAAAGATTGTAGGGTGGAGGGAGGGCATCAGATTGTTCATTGACAGGCAGCCTAACGGCTCAGGCTGCCCAGGATCATTCTGATTTTTCCCGCCCGCCCACCCCGAGGACAGTGTGATGCGCTTGAAGGCCTCGAAGGCTTTCGAAATCGTCACCTGCAAGCTAACGAAAGAGATTCGACAACCATCCTGAGAAAAGTGACCGCTTGCTCTTTGCCTGCTGAGAAGGGCGGAGGGTGGGATCTGAATCTCTGGAGCGTGTGCCCTAAACAGCTGCATAAATTCTCAAAGTGGGCAAACATTCCTGTTCGCGAAAATGTCGGTGCATCCGAGGTGCATATATGCATAGACGGTCGTGTTTGAATGACCTTATGCCACAATTTATCGTTGTTTGATATCACAATACTGACTGTGCTCCATGTGAATGTCGTCTTGCAAGCTTAGATACCTCCGTGTGTGAAGATACAAGTAACAACGGCAGATGCATCTCGCTGATGTTGTACTATTCTATTCTCGGTTTCATCTTGTCACATGGGATTGCCTATCCTGTTCTGTTCCAGTAGGTTGAGATATTTTCATGCGCTCTATTGCCTATTCTATTCCACTGTATGGCAGGCTCGTCCTAATTGGCCAGGCGGGAGGCAAAAACTATACGGTTTCTATCCTGTTCTATGCTATGCCATTCTGGTATACTTTCACCAACTGCAATAAACAACATGTCCTGATGTGTGTTATCTTACGTTATGTTGTGTTATTATGTATTGGATTCTACTACATTACTGTTTAGTAGAGTAGGGTATAGTATAGTATAGTATGGCAGAGTATCGTCGTGTAGTATAGTATAGTACAGTTTTATCTTGCATAATGATGTTTGTTGTCGCTCTCTGTCTCTTGCTTTGTTTGTCCGGATCTTTCCCCAGTCTCAGCCTGTGTTTCCACATTTCCCTCTAAAGCATCCCTTTGCAAGGTGCGCCTTTGGAAGGATCCAAACAAGGCCCTGCAGAGTGGGGAGATGAAGTTGCTGCTGCTGACTTGAAGGGCTCAGCTCCAACACCAGCTGCGAGAGGGCAAGCTGTCTTGCAGCAGATCGCTTTTTGCTTTTTTAGGGATCACTCCACTTGCCCAATCTTGCTCTTCTGCCAGCGCAGAAAGCTGCCGGCTGGAGGGTTGGATTTCACAAACGCTTTTTGCATGCACCTGCATGGGATCCGATGAGCACTCCCAACTAATGATGTACCCAAGACGCCACGTTTGCCACTCGGCCACTACGGGAAAGGTTGACTTCTCAGGCCTTCGATATAGCTGAACCCCAAGCACAGACCGCACCTGAGCTGGGGAGGTCCTTCCAGTCATAACATTGAACCACAGGATCCCCGAAGAGTACGTATCTTCGGGTCTGCAAATTAACTCGCGAGAGCCATTCTCCGAGACTTCGGTTTTGGAGTTACGGAGGCGAGTACCACACTATTATGTAGTCTTTTTGGGGGCATTAGCGTTCTCGAAAATGTCGGAGTGGCTCCTTAGACACATTCTCAACCTCGTGACATCGATCAGGCCATCAGTCACAGCGTTCTGGGCTTTTTGTTGTGATTCTGGGGTGCTTATCATGTCCCGCTGGGTAGACCTGCTATCGCACCAGATCTTTGCTTGCGCTGCCGGGAGCTATCGCGGCATGAGCAGTGGAGTCTCGAGTGCGTTGCGAGTCGCTCTGTGCTTGCCGCTTTGCATGCGAAGCGAGAGACGAGATGCAGAAATGGCGAAAACGGAGCTGAGCAGTGCCAGTATCGAAGTCGGGGCTACATGGTGTTTGTCAGCCCACGCGAAGAAATGGTGTCCTGTACTTGTTGAAGTTGTTGCTGGACGACGCAAGATAACTAACCCAGATCTTGACACGCGGCGACGGATCCTGAATGACTTTTCCGACAACGATAAGGATGGCTCCGAGTATTGCTTGGCCCTTAAGCTTGGGATGATGGCAGTGAGTTGTTTCTCTGGATGGGGAGGGCTCTATCTAACAGGGAGGTCACAGCCAAGAAAGGACTTGCCTGTCGGGGTGAGAAGCAGTACCTGCAGGTCAGAATCAGAAAAAAGCTCCGAAAACAAAACAATGGAACAGCGGCTGCCGTCCGCTTCCCACGACCAGGCATCTTCGAAGCCTCTGGATTCTTCATGGGTGCAGGTAAGTTTTCTTGAGCCTGCTTGCAAGTGAAATGCGCGTGTCGTGGTAGCACGAAGCCTGGACATAGTGATTCACTGCAGAGCCGGACTTTCTCTAGAAGAGAGCATATCGCCTGCAGATACAGTGGATGGTTGGTGTCGTATCTCAAGCATACGCCACAGAGCTTCCGTGTCGGCGATGGCACCGTTCGCAGGTCGGATACTGTCAGCTGCGGTGTCTCCATGCCGACGCAGCGTGAAGCTCTTCACCGGCGTGTGGACAATCAGCGAATCCTTTGAGCCGGGGTGCGTGAGAAGGAGCCGAGACGGAAGCTCGGGACCTACCTGGAGCGTCCCTTGCAGGATTTGCGGTGAAAAAGACGAGATGCTGAAATTGGGAAGACAGAGCTGCACAGTGGAGCGGGGGGGGCATTCGTGACATGCGACATCCTGCTTCAGTCGCAGAGCTTCAGTTGAGCATGTTGTCATGTGCAGGACAGGGAGCCTTCCTCTAGTTGTAGTCATTGTAGTTATGACATGACCCATGCCAAAACAATGTGATGTTGAGTCCACAGCTCCTGTCAAGCATGGCCTCACCGCTAGCCGCCAAGCAGTGCCGGATTTGTTTGGATGAGGGCAGCTGCCGCTTGCCTTCCCATTTTGATTGAGATTGGATGGGCCAGTGATTTTGTGATTGATGCAGCTAGATGGCTTGGGTTCTACCCGTTACATGCAACCTGACATTCAGGCACTTCCCTACTGTCACCTTGTCTATGCCGTGGATCTGCCGCATGGGTTCATCGAGACTGTTTGCTCAAGGCCGTTTGACTCTGCAAGCTTAATGGATTTCTGCTTTCCGTTGCCATGGAAACAAGGGTCTGCCAGTTATGGTTCCCCACCCCCCATTTGTACATGCTCCGGTTCGTTTGCAGCCTTCGTGTAAAGCTGAGCCCCGCAGGCTTACCTCCACAAAGCTGCGTGGCATGAGCTGGCCTGCTCGGTTTGTGGTCACGCATATAGTGGCGATGCCGCATTCACGCTGGGCTCCTCGGCTGCGGGGGTTGGAAGCGGTGAAGCCTGCAAGTAAGCTTGTTTAGCTGCATTGCAAGGTACCGCGGGGCTCAGATGCTGCGAGGAGAATCATGGTGTTGAGTCCCTGCCATGTGCCCGGGTGCTGTGCAGTCTTGCCATCGCCTGCGGTGATTTGGGCCGGTATCGCCAACAGTTGCAGTTGCTGCAAAGAGCCTTTCGAATCTACGAAGCAGCGCCTCGGTCTATGCTGTTGAGGACTGAACTTTTGCATTCGGCCTGCATGCGGTGGAGATGCATCGCAGCCTGAAGATAAGGCATTTGGCGGAGGCCACATAACAGTCGGTGTAACGCTGGGTCTGATGGCTGATGCGCACGGACAGCTCGGGGAGTATTACAAGCAGAAGGAGGCAGGTGAAACAGCGCTGAAAATTGAAGAAGCAGAATTTGGCGTTGGAAGCTCGAAGCTTTGTTCCACGTTGAGCACCTTGGCTGCTGCGCACCGCAATCTGGGCAACTACCGCAAGCAGAAAGACATTTTGGAGCGTGTGCTGGGCATTGACAGGGCCGTGTTGGGTCCGGAGCATGTCGATGCTGCGGCTACTATGGTAGCTTGACTTGCAGCGAGGAATGTCTTCGCTAGTGATGAGCACTTCCTCGCTGCGGCTTAGCATGGCTGGAACCGACAGAACTCAGAGCATCCGGCTCACTGAGGTGAACTTGGCAGATGCTGAAGGCAACCTCGGCAACTACGGGGCGCAACAGGAGCTGCTGGAGAAGGCATTGAGCATCAAGGACCTGTTGAGCGCAAGCATCTCTGTTGCAGGGGTGGGTCGCTGTTAAATAAACCCTCTCGCAACCTTACTTGCTACTGCTACGAGTCTCTTGTTGTCCGGCGACTCAGGGGTTGTCAGGGCAATCCGGTGTGTGCGGATGGATGAGTTTCTGTCTCCAGGGCTCACCGCGCAAGTGGCGCAGCTTCACAAGCATTGCCACAACCAAGCCAGGGCTCTGTGACTTCGACGCATCTGTACGTTGCCTCCCGGCAGCTTCTTAAGCCAAAGAAAGTTTCTGTGCTGCCAGGGAAGACTGACAGCGACGCCGGCGGGACACCAACCAAAACAGTGACACCACCACCCCGAACATGGACTGGGACACCCAGTGGAACACGACCGAAACATGACCGGGCCCAAATTACAGAAGACCGGGACACCGGGCGGGTAAGTGGTGGACCACGAATTCGGGAATACAGTGATCTTGATTGCGGCAGGAGAAGCATTTTGGACGCGACCATCCGAGCACAGCTACAGCCATGGTCAACCTGGCTGCTGCATATGCCCACATGGGGAAGTACGCGTCGCAGCAAGAATTGCTTGTGAAAGCACTCTGGATCAAGCAGCAAGAGTTCGGACAGGACCACGTGAACACCACAGTGGCAATGCGAAGCCTGGCAGAAAGCTACGGACGCTTGGGTGAGTACCAGAAGCAGAAGGATCTGCTGGAAAGGGTCCTATCGATTGTTGAAGGCGAATTCGGAGTTGAGCATCTCGAAGTTGCTGCCACACTGGGTGGGTTGTCGCTTGCTGAAGCAGGCCTGGGGAATTACAAGAAGCAGCTGGAGCTCGCCCGTCGGAGCATGACGATTATCGAACGCGAGCATGGGCGCAAGCATGTGCGGAGAGCTGCAGCCTTGAGGATATTGGCACAGGCCTGGGCAAGCACCGGCGACTATAAGAAGGCTGCCGAAGCTGCTAACGAGACCTGTGACATTCTCCAAGCGGCTTATGGCCCAAAGCATGTCCTAGTGGCAGAGGCCTTAGCCACCTATGCGCATGCGATGGGTAACCTCGGCCAGTATCAGGAACAACTGCAGCTAGCAGAGAGCAGCTTGAAAATCCTCGAACTGCATTTCGGCTCTCAGCACTTGTCTATTTTGAGTTGCCTGGCTGCTGTCGCAAGTGCACGCGCCGAGCTTGGGCACTTTCAGGAAGCCCGCGAAGTTGCAGAGCGCGCTTGCGCAATTGCGGAATTGAGCTTCGGTGCAGAGCACTTGGTGACAATGAGCTCTTTGTGTCTTCTGGCCAATGCAGAAGGCGCTCTGGGGAATTATGAAGCGAAGCAGCAGCTGTTTGAGCGTGCCCTGCGCATCGGCACCGCGAGACTTGGAGGAAACCATCCTGATGTTGCTCTCCTGCTTCGAGGCACGGCAATTTTGCTTTTTGAAGCATGTCGCGCTTCCTTTTCCAAAGAAACAATTGACACACACGCTTTCCTTAGCGCAGGCCTCGGCTCGGCGCTGTCAGAGACGGGTCGACCTTTCGCTTCGAAGGCGTTGCTTGAGAAGGCGGTTCTCCTTCAGAGGAAACACTTTGGCTTGGAGCATATGGAGACTGCTCGAACTGAGCGGTGTCTCGGAATGATCTTCGTGGCCCTGGGCAATGCTGCAGAAGCACAAGGCATACTCCAGCACGCGCTCTCCGTTTTCGAGACGCAGCTTGGGGAGGCATTGCGGCGGTAAGCTTCGACGCAAGTTTGGAGATGAACTCCCTCGGCCCAAGACAGAATCGGGAATAAGCGAGTGTAACCCAAAGTGCTCGAATCACAAAGCATTTGGTTGCAATGAAGCTGACGCTGACTCCAGGCCCGTGTAGGTCGCTGCTCCAGAGGGAAGCAGCGAGCATCACTTTCTGGGTTTCTTGGGCCAGGCTCTTAGCTTTGGAGTTACGTGGCCAATACAACAGAGCCTCAAGCTTAAAAGAACCTCGAAATCGCTATCCATTGTTACGATGTTTGTTTCTTGCGATTTCTGTTAGGGCTTCTGCCCGAGAGTGGGAACAGGGGCACAGTGGCACTACCATCTTCTCTTTTCCGCGGTGCCTTGTCCCGTGTTCAGGCCCACTTGCAAGTCGCCAAAACGCTTCGCCACTTGGCCATGACTTATCCAATGGGAGCTCCCGAGCGAAAGGAGGCCGTCGAGCGAGCGCTGCCTATTCTCTACACGGAGGTGCGATGTGTGATGAAGGAACAGACAGCAACTAGTTGCTGAAGCATTGACAGGCTTGGTATCTGGCAATTGCAGCATGACAGAGCATACTATATTCATGGTGTTCTGACTGGTGCGGTCTCCTGATCTCAAACACGTCCCCCGTAGGCCAAAAGGTCCCAAATATTGCTGCTGCTGCTGCTGCTGCTGCTGCTGCTGCTGCTGCTGCTGCTTATGCTGATGCTACCGACGCCACCGCGGCCACCAGCAGCAGCACCGCCACCACTATATCACTACACGAAGACGACGACTGCCAGAATGCCACTACAGCGCTGCACAGCAACACAAAAAGCTTAACTAGAGTGGAATTGGGCAGCAACAGATCACGTGTGTGAAGACAGCGACGTCGCGGTACCGTGGAAAGCTGTGAAGATGAAATCGCGGAAGCTAGCACTCTGCTGAATGCTCCTGGCAGGTGGGGAAGGAACACCCCTGGACTTTGGAGATAATGAGCATTCAGACTCCTGCCAAAAGGCAGCGGCTGGAAGGACAGCCCGGGAAAGCCAGAGACAGGACATCCATGAGCTTCTGACCAATCAGTGCCCGAGACTTTTTCCTAGGCCGAGCTGTAATGTCATGGGAGATTGGCGCCAAGTCGCGCACCGGTGCTTTCGTGTCAAAGGGCCAGCAGGTGGCACTTCAGATGTGGCGAGGTGTCGGTCGTACACACGCGAAGGAGGAAGAAGGATGAAGGAAGAAGTGGCAGTGGAGTCGCCCCCCCGATGGTGTGATGCCGCACTGGAGCGCTCCTACCGTTGAAGGCAGCGGACGCTGAAAGGTTTTTTAACCCTTATCTTCCAGGGTGGGTTTGCATACAGGCATAGGAGGTGTGTATGCACACAAAACTGAAGGCCGCGGAGGAGCGCTGGCCTCTCTCAAGCGACTGTCGTGTGTGACACCATGGCTATGGTCCTGAGAACTCGAAGCTGGCATGGCTGGAACCGAAGTTGCATCACAGCTACAGCACCGCCACTGAAGCAACCTCGCACTGATCACATGCAGGCGCAGTTCTGAGATTTCCGTCAGGAGTTTCACTCATTATGAGCAACTTCCACATACTGCGTCAGAGGGCAGTCTTGCATGCGATCTTCCATGGTTGTGCCTGCTTCTTTCGATATATTTGGCAAGTAAAAACCCCGAGATGAGCAAGGAAACGCTCAAACCCAAGACCAGGACAACGAACACAAACGCCCAGAGTTCCCGCAAGCTCGTTTCTATTGTAGGGATCTCAGTCTGTGCTGAAAGGGGGATTAAAATGCCTGTTCACACATACTCCTGCTTCGGTTTAATGTTTGCCTGCTCCTGCTTGAAGCGTAGATTTGCTCAATGGCGCCGCAGGGTTCGGCCGACACCGAGACTCTTCAAAAGAGGAGATGCTGCGCAAAGTGGCGAAGCAGAGGGCCGGTGGAAGACTGGAGAACTGCCACCAGACTCCCTTGATGCAAAAACAGCCGAACTTGTGCAGAGCTGCTGCTCGCTTTCGCAAGAGGTGCTGTGAGGCGATATTTAATATTTGCCGGATTTCTGCAGTCGTAGCCCAGATGAATTGCCCCCCTCCGACCCTCACCAGCGGAGCCGGCGTGTGGCAGGCATCCTTCTGGAGGAGCCCACACATTGCCTTCTGAACAACAAGCACAATAGCGTCACAGCCACGCCAGGCACCACCATGCGAAAACAAGGCAGCATATGGTGTTCCGTCTTGCAACGACCATCATGCGGCCTGTAGCAGTGTTTTTTCGGATACACTGTCACAGGGTCTCAAGTATTCATGTTTTCGCGGCCCCGCAACAACGCATAGTTTCTCCATCCTTCGTGGATTGAAGTCAACGGTGTGTTTTGGGGCTACCCCACGCTGGATTGCGGCGGGTTAGTGTGGAAATTCGAGCACGACACCGTTGCTGTGCTTGGGATTGTGTGTTCTGCTCGACGCCGCTTCTCGAGCTCCGTTGCATAACACGGTTTGAAGCTTCCAGTGGAATTTTTCGACGCCGGGACTTGGACTTACGTCGTTACATAAATTTCCTGGACAGCAAGCAGATGAGAACACAAGATTGCTTGTACATATACAGTATCCGTCGATACAGCGTCGGCGATTTCAGTGGCAAACATGCACCGACGTAGCCTCGTAGGAACATGCAAATTTCGCCAGTCGATGGGAGGCCGAAGTGAGGGAAGTGGCGGGTCGCTTCGAAAGCTGGCAGCACGTACCCAAATCCATCAGTATTGTCAGACGGCTACGTTCACAGAGCAACGGCGCTTGGCACAGCCTCCCTGAACAAAAAAGCTTTCACAGTGCTGGCGGGTTCGGGACCTCAGTAGCCTGTCAAAACCTGAAACTTTCACCCAGAACAGAGTACTTGCACGTGATACAGATGCAAGAGACCGAGGGCTGCACGGGTGGGACAACCCCAAAATCCAGCTGCCACAGCAGGAATTTCAGACAGGGACAGCCTTCTCGGGGTGCTGTTTGAGCTGAAGCTTCGTGTCGAGAGATGGTTCAGCCCGTGCGCTGACTTCCCACGACTTGGTTCTTGTCCTCGTCATGATAGTGCTGGCCCCAGCAAAACCCTCTAAAGTTCGCCAGCCTACAAGAGCACTTGCACGCAATGCATTGGCCCTGGCTTCACTCCATGCAGAACGAGAGAGGAAGTCCCATGTCATTGATGCTGATGTCCCTTTCATTCGCGCTGTACTGCGGCATTTGGCTGTGCCCTACTTGGCCCTACTTGCTGGCTTTTAATTGGAGAACGAGACTGGGTCACAAGAGGTCAGGTGTCTTTGCAAGAGAGTTTACCCATATGCCTGCCGAGACCCTGCCAAGTGATTCGCTGGCCGCTAGCAGTGCATGAGGCAAAAACTTCCATGCAGGTTTGGCCCAAGCTGAGTGAGGTAGAGAGAACGCAGGGATCCACGAAATGGGCCTTGGCAGGTGGGCACTGATTCTACTGTCCACTTTGCCGCTGCTGCTCGTTTCACTTCTGGCGCCGGTTCTAACCTCTGGCGCACTACTCGCTTTCTGCTTCTTGCAAGTACTTTGCCACACATCTCTCGAAGTGGGGACTTCCCGTGGCTTCCTTTCCTTCGGTTTGCGCCTTGTGCTCGGCCTCACGCTCAACGCGTTCCTAACGGTCTTCCTGGCAGGCAGAGATCTTATCCTGGAAAGAGGCGGCAGAGGCGAGGACAAGGGCGGGGGCATTGCCTTGCCACCAGCAGCCATCGACGGCCGCGAGGAACTTGTGACCCATACACCCATCGCCACGCTGTCCGTGGTGGTGCCCTGTGCAAACGAGAGCGCTTGGAACGTGCAGCACACCGTGCAGGCCATTTGGGAGGCCACGCCAGGGGCAGAGCTCTTGGAAATACTTCTGGTGGACGATGCTTCGAGGCCGAGCTTGGAGCGACAACTCTCCCGGGCTGTCTCCCGCAGTGCTTTGTTTCTCACCTCTCACCGTGCCCGTGTGCTTCGGAATGCTGAGCCCCGCGGCCTGCTTCGCTCGAAGCAGAGAGGTGCGGATGCGGCGAAAGGAGAAGCCATTGTATTCCTGGATTGCCACGTCCGACCGATGGAGCACTGGACTGAAGGCCTTTTGGAACACCTCAATGCAGACTGGCGCCGGGTGGCTGTGCCCCTGATGACGAACTTGGACCCCGACACTTGGCAGGAGCTACAGCCACACAAAGGTGGTCAGAAGATGTGCCCCTTGACCTCGGCCTTCAGGCTTTCCTTTTGTTCCACCGTTTTCTTGAATTGACAGTACGAGCTTAGTGGGTTGCGCCCGGTGTCGAAGAGGTCTATCACTGTTCCCAAACGACGATGAAGGAGGCAGAGAGAGCGAGAGCGAGAGAGACAGAGGACCAACCAAGTGGGCACCAGATACCTGCGAACTTCCGTTGCAGCCGAGCCCACCCTGCTCCCAGGAGCGGGAGGTAGGGACTGCCTGCCCTCCATGCCCCAGAGCAAAGCAAAGACAAAACCACAAAAAAAAAAATCGTCGAACCTCCTGTGTTGAAAAAGAGAGGGCCTTGCGGCAGTTCAGGGTCCGGGTTCCAGTTCAGCGCGGGTAGGGATTGGAAACTTAGTAAGGTAGGTAACTCACTGCTTGTTCTCTCCTTCTGCTCTCGTCAAATGTACAGAGCGGCCACAAAAGCAGCTGTACGAGCACGCACACGCAGGAAGGGCTACGGTTCGTCCTCCTTGCAGTCCCTTGGGCCCAATTGAGGCATAACGAGAGTAGAAAATGTGAGAAGAATAGTAGGGAGGATGAGGAAGAGTCGAGCAACCTTATCTTCCGACATGCCTGAACATACGCATCTGACAGCAGCTGAGAGCGAAGAGCTTGCCACCATATCTGCAGCAAGTGCATCAGCCGTCGCAGGTTTGACATGGGCTGCCGATGCTTTCTGGTGCGATGGATGGCCTGGTGACGAGGTGCCTTTGCTGTCCGGTGGGTTGATGGCACTGACCAGGCGCTGGTGGCGCCTTTCTGGTGGCTTGGGCCCGGTGGACGAAAGGATGCAGGGCTGGGGTGGCGAGAACCTGGACCAGTCCTTGCGGACTTGGCTTTGCGGAGGTGAGATCCGTGCTGCCGAAAACTCCCGGGTGGCCCACCTTTGGCGCGATGGAGGGAAGACGGCCAAGGCCACGGCCCCTCGATACCGATTGTCAGAAGCACAAATTCTTCGAAACCGGCTGCGGGCGGCTGAGGCCTGGATGGGGCCCTGGGCTTCGAAGGTACGGAGCTTCGAAGAGTTTCAGGTGCTCGCCAAGCGCCGCCACGAGAGTTATGATTCGGAGCTTCAGCAGCTGCAACGGCGGTTGGGCTGTGCTCCCTTCGCCAACTACTTGGACACTCTTGTCTTTGTTTGCCGAAAGCTCATTTAAATTTGTTGGTATCGCATTTTACTTACTGGTGCCCTGCTCCTTTCCTCTGCCAGGAGCGTTTCAGAGAGCTCTTCAGGCTCACGGGGCTGCTGCCTGAAAGCGTCTTCCACCTGCAGCTGGAGAGCTCAGAAGAGACGCGCTCGGATTCGCTTTGCCTCAGCGTCGATCCCTTCCAAAACTTCAAGCCCTTCTTGAGCCGCTGCATCGCGGGCCAGGCCTTCCAGCGCTGGCATCTCCTTGGATCCGAGGCCTCGGGGACCTTCGCAGTGAAGCTTTGGAACTACGACGTGTGCCTGGCCTGGTACGGTGGGGACTTCCAGGCGAGGGAAACAACACTGTCACAGCGATTGCAACACAGCTCTAGCCGTCTCTAGCCTAAGGCTTCGAGCTTGGTGCTCCGGGGGTCTCAGTGTTGAAGGGTATGCTTTCGAAGTGATGTTTCTGCGCCCTCAGACCGGAATGTGCTCCTTCTTCGAAAGATCACGGTTCCAGGAGTTTGCATTCCAGGAGGAGTTGATCACAGTCCCAAGGTTGACGAAGGTTTCGCAATGCTTAGCTGGAGCTCCGCACGAGCGTCGTGCCAAGCTTCGATCCGAACGACGAGAGGGGCTTGAAGGGTCCGCGCCCCTCCTGGCAAGCACCGGGATGGGCTCCTGGCGCCTCTCGGGAAAGTGGTGTCTGGTTCCACCACGAGAGGCGCAAGGCAATGGGGACGTGGAGCTGTTCCTCTCTCCTTGCAGTGAGTTGGGGCCCAAAGAGCAAGCCACGTTGAAAGAGCTGGGCACCGGGAACGGGTTCTTGCGTCAGCTACGCATTGCTGGTGACGGTCGATGCTTGCATGTGAAAGGCACCGGAATGGTGGCATCACAGTGCGCAGACTTTGTTAGCTTCTTCCGGGTGCAGGAAGGTCGGCCGCTATGCGAGGGCGAGAAACCACAGCGATGCCTGAGCATGGAAGGTTCCGGCACTGGTCCTGGCAGTTTGGCTTTGGAGCCGTGTGAGCGCACCTCAGACGCCTTCGAAAGACAACTCTTCGTCCAGGAGCCAAGCCAAAGCTTTGGTTCCTTCTCTTTGCGCCAGGGCCAGGGCCGTCAGGGGCATCGCTGTCTCATAGGCCTTCCTCAGTCTGGAGAGCTGCAGTTGGTGCTGGCCGCCTGTGACAAAGCTTCTTCCCGGGGAGCTTGGGCTCAGACCAGAGATGCATTAGTATGGACCCACAGGTCCACCGATTCCCAGGCCCTCGACTCTTCGTGGGGTCTCACGGACCCACAAGATGCGAGCCATTGCCTCACTGCTGAGCGCTCGAAGGGAGGCTTCCGTCCTTGGGCCTTCCGCCCCGCCTTGCGCCCCTGTTTCTTCGAGGACTTCACTCAACGTTTTAGGGTCGGGAATGGCAGCATTTTCATTCCCAGCCACGTGGCCAACCAAGGCCGAAGCCGTTTCCCTGCCCTCTGCCTCACAGCCAACTCGCGGAAGCGCAGCATGCGGAGCATGCGGAGCTCCGTGAGCTCCGATCTGGAATCCTGGAGGCTCCTCCGAGCGGAGCCCTGCTTTGAAGCCGGCAGTCGACATCGCCCGAAACTTCACTGGCGGAAGCTTTACGAAGAGATGCCTCTGGAGACGCGGCTTCTCGCGAAAAATCGCGTGGCGTAGCGGTGTAAGCCACAGGGGCAGCCTGCAAGTGCTGCACCATGCTTCCTCGAAGAAGTCAACTGGAGAGCACGTGTAATTCCCGTTCCCCTTGATGCTGCAGCCCGTCGCTGACAGACTCCTTCGGCTACGCAAGCCAAGTGAATAGGAGTTCGTGGACCTGGAATAGTGTTTGTATGCAGTAAGCACACGACAGCAAGGCCGCAAGAAGGTGCAGATGCACAGTTGCAGGCCTTGTCCGCTGCTGCAGGCTTTTACTGGCATGCGAAGCTGTCCACATCAAGAGTGACTTGGAACGCCCACGCATGAGTGTCGATGTCCGACAGGCTCTCTTCCAACTATCACCCACTTAATGTTTTCAGAGGGTTTTCTGGGCGTGGCACAGCAGACTGGCTCGCACAGACTCACTGACTGTACTTTCCATGGACCGATAAGCACCCAGCCAGTTCTAACATGTTCTGGCGTGGCCTCCGCGCGACGCAGCATGACGATTCTTCAACCATCTACTGTCAAGGTGTTCATTGAAGGCGTTCGTTCCGACGTTGGTTTGCAAGCTCCGGATCTGTGTACAGATTCAGGCGGCTCTCGAGGAGGGCATTCCCGAAAAAGATTAATGACAGTGCGCGAAAGGCATGCTGACGCTGAATTCTGCAAAGTGTAGAGTGCCGCAGGCCTTGGGCTTCAAGATGCCATTATGGCCATATTATGCCCTCCGGACACGATGCGATGTTACGAATGAGGAGGAAAGTGTGTGTACTCGGATACAAATGGAGAGACCTTCGGGCAGTCATCGAGCACAAGATTTAGTTCCAGGTGCTTAAGCCTTAGTTGTGCCATGGCATACATGCAGTTCGCCGATCGACCGCACCTCGGCCCGATGCGCTGTGTCGATCGGCTTGCTTGTTGCTGGTCTGTCTTCTTCGCCTAGCTGCTAGCTGCCTGTCAACATGTCTGGCCAGCCGTTCGCCTATCCTATCTGTCTGTACTCCTGGTATCAACCCAATGCATTAATCAGCCCCAACCTGCGTCGATCTTGGAAGCTCCGTGATCTTGACTCCTAAATCGAGTGCACTGTTTGCTCGTTCGCTTGTCAGAGACTGTCCTTTGGTGTGTCTCTCCCTTGCCAAGGACTCGGCAGATCGCACGGCCCTTTCCCAGTCCCATCAAGCCGATGCCGATATGGCGATCGGAATCGGTGCTTCCACTGCATTGCAAAGCGAAGCCAGCAGTTCCTCCATCTCCTCCGCGCGGCGGTTGGGCCTCGGTTCCATCTCGCAAAGTGCCGGAACCGGTGACGCCAACCCGGTCCCGGCCGAAGGCTTCGGCTCCGGCCGTCTTCACACCCCCTCGGACTCGGCCCGCCGCCGCCGAGCGCAAGGCCCAGTACGTGAAAGTCCTGGTGCCGGAGCCACCAGAGCCGGTCAAAGCGGAACCCGCTTTGAAGGTTCCGGAGCCGCCGGAGCCTCCCATGCCTCCAGCGAAAATACCCGTGATCACTCACCCGCATTATGCCATCAGACGACAAGTTTGCCAGCAAGTGTTGCTCACGAATTTGCCGATTGCTGTAGAAGAGCATCACGTTGTGAGACAGCTAGAAGCTGCTCGCCTTGAGCAACCCTTCGTCGTGCAAGTCAACCAAGAAGCCTCGACATGCAAACTGTTCTACCCCCAAGTGTCCAAGTCTGTGGATGTGCTCGTGGAAGAGAGACTTGCCTGAACAGTTTGAGCCATCAAAGGTCATCAGTGAGAGAACGAGCGTAGACGTGTTTGAGGGAGGTCGCAGCTCAGGGACCACTTGCTTTTTGAGCATGCTGGAGGGAGACATCTATTGCCAGCCACACTGCTGGGAAAAGTGGAGCTCATGTGGACGGATCCGCGATGTCCAGAAAGAGGCCGGGGCGCTTAGCCTGGCTGAGTGGCATTGAGGGGGAATGCCCCGGGTTTGGCTACCTACCTGAAGGAGACCAGAGCTGTGAGAAAGACAAGAGCAAAGGAAGCGAGAAGGCGGAGCGGATCCGGTGGTCAGTCTCCGCCCTCGTCTTTTGAAATGACCTGGCAGGAGACACCCCACGAGCCGCTTGACCAGCAGAGAGGGTTGCGTTTTCAGCCACACCGCATCGTACCAAGGCCAGGAAAAGAAGCAGCCGAAGCACGCGATGCTGCTCGGCCGACGATCTCGGGCATGTGACGTATAGACCATGCATTCTGCTTCTGCAACACAATCAGGCTCAGGGTCCAGGTCAGCTAATCAGGCGGTCAAGAAGTGTGAGTCCTTTCACAGGCGGAGTCCATGCCAGTGCCGCACGAAAACCAGAGCTGTGCCACGTCTGCAACTTGAGCCCCCCACACGGATTGTAGAGTCCATTCCAGATTCCAGACAAGACAGTCTTCTTCTGGCGAGGTCCCAGCATCCAGAGTTTGGCAGAAACCTGGGTGCAGCGACTCGGGAGCGAAGAGCTCCCAAGCGTGGGTTCGACTTGGCATTACAAGGACAGCTGCCGGCCATGTCGGTTCTTGCAGACTGGGTGCAAGAGAGGCAAGTCCTGTGACTTCTGCCACCTTTGTGATGGGACGCAGAAGAAGAGACGTGTTGAGAAAGCGGAGGACGTGCCAGACATGGATGGCAGCACGGAAGCTGGCGAGTCGTTGCCACCGAGTGCAGATGCGAGCAAGTCTGACTCAGTCGAGGGCAAGTCGGACACTGCGGAGACTGAAGAGAACGATATGCCCGAGCCCGCCGAGCCCGCCGAGCCTGCCGAGGCCGAGTTTTCGCACGAGGACATGGCCAGTCTCATTGGTCGCCTGTGGCCAAAGTCCGAGCCTTTGGAAACCTCGAAGAAGCGGGCCACTGCGCGTTTGAGAGCGCAAAAGATGAAGCTATCGAGGTTCCTGAAATTGCACGGGAAGAAGCTGTGGTCTGGAAGCCGAAAAGCCAAAGGCCGAGCCGACATGCGCCGGCCGAGCGAACCGGCTGAACCTCCACGAAAATCGGCAGACGAGACTTCCCTTCGCCTGAGCTTTTCGGGACACCGCTCCTCTGACTTTCACCTTGAGCGTGAAGTTCCGGTCCGGGAGTTGCGATTTTCCCAGCGAACTTGCGGCTCTTACTTCCGATGTGGCCGCAAGTGTGAAGACCTCGTCCGAGACCTCCACGAGAAGAAAGTTGACCCCAGGACTGCAAAATTCCTCGTTCTCGACGTCATCAGGAAGAAAGATTCGCGAGGACGCTCTGTCCTCTGGTCGGCAGACAATCGACGCCTCTGGGTCTTGAAGAAGTTTCAGCAATACACACAGGGTGAGATCAAGGTCCGAGTCCGATTTCAAGGTGACTTCCATGCCTTCAAGCGCTTCGAGCGTAATTTTGACACTGACTGCGATGGACGCTACATCAAGTTCCGGCAAGACTCGCACAAGTGGCTGAGGGATCCCTTGCAAGAACCTTCAAAGCGAAGAAGAAGCGGACGTCGCTGACAGCCTCGTCATCAACTGTTTAAGTGCAACCTTTTAAGTTGTCCCTTAGGTCTGGGTGTACATAGGTCACAGGTACATGCACTCGGGGACCGATGCAAACTTTTTGTGGGTCGCAGGCTTGGCAAGGATCTGAATGCACTTTGATCCTTGTGAGGTCATACGGTATTTTCGAGAGTAGCAGCACCGTCATCGGGTTATTGCTTCTGGCCTGCAACTCGTGGGAATCTCCGAAGGCTAGCTAGTTGCAGGGCATGTTCGGACGATGCCTTTCGTATCCAGGCTAACATCTGCAAAGACATGACTCCCGCGCGCAACGGGAAGTTGAGCAGTCGAGGGCGCTTATGCATTGCAATTAACATTGCTACAGGTAGAGTCTTGCCCGTTGTCCGATCGTCTTGCCCTGCTGGCTTGTAGCATGTATTATCGCTTTCAGTCTGGCCGCGACCGCTGTCAACTGAGGACATTTCAATAGCCATGCAGTCGGGAAGGCAAACGAAAACGGTTTCGCTTGTTGAGCGCACAGGGTGGTTCGAGTGGATGTTAGGGTCGTCGACCCAGTGCCTCCCCACGTTGTGCTGTATACCAACTGTAAGGTGTCGTATGGGTTAATGGGTGGTAGTGGAAGATGAACTACTGCAGCCACACAACGGGTCAGCACAGCTTAGCAGATACTGTAATTGCGCGTGGTTCTACGAGGAGCACTGCTTCCAGCGACTCGGACTGAGGCCAGCTAGTGACCAGTAAAGCAACTCGTCAGCACAAGGTTACACTCGTTGTATCCTGGCGGATGCCGAGGTTGAAACTTATGAAACTTGCGAGTCAACCGCGCAGGCATTTAACTTAGTGAAAGTGGGATTTTTTAAACTTCGAGTTGTCAGTGCTACTATGTCAGGTGGTAGCATATTCCGTCGATACCTTGAAATCCAACACGTTGCAGCACAGTCGTCGGTATGTGCCTCCAGCAGTGCCGGCGCTGCTTGAGCATGATCATCACTCTGCGGCGCTTTTTTGCCTGTGCTCCGTCTGCAGCACAGGGAGCCCCTGAGCACCCAAAAGCTTGTGAACCATGGGAGAGAATTAGCCCCATCATTCAACAACCCGTTAGTATTGAATGTACTGGAATAATACGTACTTGCAGACATCTGAGATTGGAATCACTGAA